TCGTGCCAACATGATGCTGGCACCATTTTCTTATTGCCATGGTGATCTCTAGCTCTCCTGAAATCTCAAGGGGGACTATGATATTTTAAAAGCAACTTGAATTTTGGTAATTAAAAAGACTGGAAGGAATAATCTTTCTACATTTTGCCAGCGTGGGTAAATACGTATAGCAAAGGATATCTAGAGAGGAAGCATGTTATTGTGCTTTAGTAGGTGGGTGACCCCATGCTAGAAGATGAAAAGCATCATGAAAGTTATGTATGGGGTATTTATGGCGATTCAGAACCCTATTGTAGATCTTAAGTACATCTAATCACAACCTTCCTATCAATAGGTATTTTTCCTGGAGTCGCTAGCATTTCAACTTAAGAGCTAAAGGTATGATTGTCAGAGTTTTTTTAATGGTGGAGGCAGTGTATAATATATGTAAATGTTGCCAGTTATCAAAGTAAAGGGGGGAAAAGTGATTCGCTTAAACCGGAAATTGAGACAGGCATAATTCATACTGCAGGTTCATCACTCCCTCCCCCATCACGAAAGTTCTCACATTAAGAGTTCTTTTGAACTTCATTTGAGCAACTGTGCTCTCCTAGAAAAGCCTCCAAGATTAAAGGGCTTTGTCTCACTCAAGAAGACAGTTGAAATTTTTTTAGGCATTCTTTTGAGCCATAAAATAAACGCTTGGAATACGTGAACATGTAAGCAAGCAGAAAAAGGCAAAAAATACATTGTAGAGAAATCCGGGATAGTGGAAAGAAAGCACCTTCTTGGTCCTTTATTTGTGCATAACTTTGTGCATAGCATTTATATTGGAATGTGATCAGCAGTTTAAGTTAGGGTTTGGGGATTTTTGTGTGTGCGTGAATGTGTGTTGTTCTATTAGGGAATCAAATCTTCAAAGGCAAAGAAAGAGAAGGGGTGGAACAATCCTCTTTGATTATGAACTTCAACAAGCAAATGCAGATTCCTGATTTGCAGATGAGCATTTTAATTGATTTTTTGTTTGTTTGTTTTACAAAACCACCTACCACCCAATGTTTCACAGTCAAAAATAAACCATTTAACTCTAAAGTTAACTCTCCCACAAAAGTCAAATCTGATTATATCTAAACAGGTCACCAACTGGAAGTTGAGAATTTTCTATGGATCGGTTTGATTCCATAGGGAATATATTTGCCAGCAAGAGTAGTTTGGCGGCCCCCATGGCAAAACTTAAAAACCTGTTTTCTTGTTTTGAACCCCTCTGGGTAAGAGCAGTTATCACGTTGCTCATAATCTTATTTAATGCCATTTTTAGCTGCTCTGACCTGAAATAGAATAGCCAGATGGTTTTGTTGGGGTTTTTAATTTGTTTGTTTGATTGATTTTGTGTTGTGTTTAACACAGAGAGTTTTAAAAAAAAATTGTTCACTGTTTTTTGATTAGTGAAATGTCCTTATGATAGCTGACAGATGACTCATTGAGCATAAAAGCTCAGTAAGGTGACTAAGAAGAACGTTAAGAGCTTTATTATTTTGTTTTCATTTAAAGTATACATGGAACCCAGAGAAAAAAAGTCCTCCCAAGGCTATTTTATTGCATAAACGTGTTAATGCTCAGACTAGGCTATTAACTTTTTCCTTAGATGTTCTCTCTAATGGTATTTTCCTGTGTTTAGTGTTTTAACCCATGCATTAAACCAGATACAGGATTTTTGCCTTTTCTTAGTAATAGATTCTTGAAATTAAAGAAAATTGATCAGGGCACCAAGATAGAAACTTTTGTGTCAGTAGAGCAAGCGTGAAGTGTTGTGTGCTTACTTGTTTTTATATTGGGTAGAATTTTTTTTCTTGATTTTAAGCACAGTTCTAAATAAAATCCACACTGCTTAAAAGAGAATTTTAACATCCCCCCCCACTGCGTTGTAGTTTTTCTTTTCCTGAAAATAGATCCACAAATGTCATAAATTAGTCTGCAGATTTTACCTTATTATGCTTCCTCCTTCAAAAAATATGCAGGAAAGTGATTATATGTGGTGTTCAACTCAGGGCTGATGAGTTGGTTATAATTATCAAGGCAGACATAATGAGATGAAAACAACTCTTTCTTGGGGGCCTCAGAGGAGTTCTCAGTCACTATCATAACCCTGTCACGCTGGGTTAACTGTTTTCTGCCCAAGTAGATGTCAACACAATTAATTTCACAGTTTCCTCAACTGATACAGTTAGGGTTCATTTGCTCATCTAGGCAAGAAGATCCACATATGTTAAGGGTGGAATTGATTTCTGGGTTCTTCCCAGGCAGATGATACAATGAGGAAATAGGCGTGAGTCTTTATGTATAACTAAGTGGCATTTTCTCTCTTTTTTTGGTTCATCCTTGGATATGCTTTTGTTTCGATTATTTGGCATTGCCATTTGACATTCATGCCATCATTTTGTCACTCATCAAATATTTATTGAGTGCCAGCTTTGTGCAAGACCTTTTGCCAGGCTTTGAGGTTATAGTCAGACTGAAGCAGAAAAGCTCTGCCCTTGTGAAGTTTTTAATTCACTTAAGGAGAAAGACATTGTTAAGTAATTGCATCTATATACCTAATTAACAGAAATACGTGGAAAAACAGCTGATAATGTGCATGGTGCTGGTAATTCATTCTTTACCCCTGGTATAACAGCTGCCTGCCATTGAAGTGTTTGCAATAGAACTTTCCACAGTGATGCAAATATTCTAAATCCACATTGTCCAAGACAGCACATACTAGCCCCATTTAGCTACTGAAAACTTGAAATGTGGTTAGTGTGACTGAGGAATTGAATTTTTAATTTCCTTTAATTTTTATTAATTTACATCTAAATTTAAACAGCAACACATGACTAGTGATTACTATAACTGGGCAATGCTAGTCTGAAATTTATCACACTATTACTTGTATCTACTTTTACACCTGAAAATAGCACTTGGACAGTATAAAAACAGAATGAGGTATATACAAGTTTAATTCATCACTTACTACATGAGCTACAAGGAGTGCTTTCAAAAAGCGAAAGGATCCATGAAGGAATGACTATTTTTTTTTGCAAGTTTGATAAGAAATGATGAAATAATGTCCTTGATTTCAGTATGCAAATAGATTCTAAATTAATCTTTACGTCTGGAATCCTATACCTGGTTAGGATATTTTTAAAGTCCAATTTCTTGTTTGTTATTGTTAGCCTATGAATCACTGAGATAATATATTAATTTAGTTGATGAATATACTTTATTGCTATAAATCTTCTCTTCCAGCTTATGCTAGTGCTTAGTAAAAATTGCAAACACATTTTCCTCAGAGTTGGATTCAGTGTCTTCCTACTGCAACCAATCTGTCATTCTCATTTCCTACTGTATGGATATCCATACTGCTTATTAATGGGAATTGAGAGAGAGCAAAAAGAACCTTGGGGTGGTGAAGGATGGAAAAAAGAAAAGGAAGGGAAAGTGAGAAAAAGGAGAGAGGAGGAGGCGGAAGAATAAAAGGATACTATTGGATTAAAATAACACAGGGAAGGTAGTCTTTGTTGCCAGGAAACGTGGGAATGCTTTGGCCATGAATACTGCTATGATCATTACTGTTGCTGTCAGATTTCTTTCCTTTAGCATTTTAATCTCCGGATTCCTCTCCCCTACAGTTTCCAGTTTCGTAGTATTGAGAATAATAGAGTGTTTTTAGACGCTGCATTCCTCAGCTGCTGCTTGTTTGTTTCTCATTCTATTTCTTGCCAAAGGAGGAAAAATGAGCCAAACAATTTTCTGCTCCTTCCCCTTTCCAATTGATAGCCAAGACCTTTTAACTCAGTGCCTCGGATGAAACCCACTGCTGGCCATCTGTAAGACAGAATGATGACGTGTGCGTGTCACCTCTCCTCTCGGGGTTCACGCCTTCATATTGTCTCACCATCTGTATTTTTTTATTGATGAGGGCAGAGCAAAGAAAAAATATTTCTCTATCAATTTCTGCTGAAGATTGAGTGTTCTGGGTCATGGTTTGGGTCAAGCAAGCTTTGAGGAGGGGGAGGGAAGGGTGTATGTTGTTAAGATTACTTTAGATGACTTGCTCAAGTCCATTGAAGAGGAAATTATCTCTTCATGAATGTGTTTAAACTCATATAAATCCATATATTCTTTCAATTTATGTAAATTGAATGCATACTATGCACTGGTATTTCTAGATTCTGATGATACAGGGAAAGAGAGAAAGAGAACAAGATAGACCAGGCAACTTCCATAAATGGAATTTATCTTTTGTCAGAGAACAGGGCACGGAAGGAGACAGAAAATAAATACATAAACAAGAGACAAAAGAAAACTTTGTTGAGACAAAGACCCAAAAATAAATACAGAACGATATGATAGTAACTGGTCACAAAAGGGCTCCCTTTAAGAGAATGGTCATGGAAGTCCTCTTAAAAACAGAGACGTTCAGACTGACATTTGGGTGGTAGAAGGAGCTTGTCATAGAAATATCTATGGCAGGAGTTTCCAAGGAACGTCATTAACAAGTGTCATGAAATGGATATGAATCTGTTACTTTATAATCCCAGATTTAGAAGAACACGAAGAGAACCAGTTGGCTAAAGTGATAAGAAGAAGAGGAAGAGTGATGTGAGAGAAGGTTGTAGAAACATAGGTATCACTAGATCATCAACCACCTGGAATGTCATTTGCCCTTGTTAAGGGTTAGTCATCAATTAATAGGCCACAGGTTTTCTTAAATTCCATTAGATATGGTAAATGATAATATTAGTTCAGGTTTTATTGGTGAAACCCAGAGGGGTCTCCTTGAATTGTTTAATGTCATCTATTTTGGAAGGAAGTCCATGCTGGCCTTTGGATATCACTGACCATTTCCGGGGGCTAAAAATAATGCTGGGTTAAAAGTTACTTATAGGGTACTCAAAAACGTACTTTAAGATCATAGATCATAGATGAGTTTGACGAATGAGAATGAAGTTGAACTTGTACCATTGTCTCTTCCTCCTCAGTGGTGCTAAAGAGGAGACAGGAAGCACCTGTATCTTCAAATCTTGCCAAGAACAGAGCACCTGCTAGTAAGAGACAGAAGGAGTGATAACATCACAGAGTGAAAATGAAAAATAATTTCTTTCCTGCTATTTCTAGAAAAAAAATTAAAAAATGAAAAACAAATTTATAGAAGTACTTTATTTTCCATTAAGTACCTCATTTAATTGATTTAGAGTTTCACGTAGCATATGTCTGTGTGTTTTGGAGTGTGTTTTAGGGATAAAGTAGGAAGTTCCACATTTTATGACCAGCTGTATGCTGTAGCAGAGCACGCATAATTGAGATTCCTAATTAGGGTGAAATAACATAATACTACACTCATTTCTGATTGTCTTAAAACACCAAAATTAAAAAGATGAAAACGATAGATGATAGTAAAAGGAAAATAAAAATATAAAACATGAGAGGAAGATCTGTCAATCTTGTTTTCTATTAAAATAATGTCTGGTGCACAGTAGGTATTCAAGAAATATTTATCAAGAATGGTAGAAGGTAGAGGTAGGAAATGAGTCCATAGTCTGTAATGAAAATTGCAGCAGGTAAAATAGCTTAAGCTTTCACTTTGAGCCTTGAAACTCAGATTGAATAGTTAATTAGTGAATTACCATTTCATTGACAAAATGGGGCAATGGGGCAGTTTTTCAATCTCTTCCTTTGTATTATAAATCAATACTGAAGATCGATGTTGGTTTGGATCATCTTCATGAGGCTTTATTTTAAGTGGTTTAATTATTGTTAATCTTTTGGGGTAACTGTCTTGTGATCTAAGTATCTAGTAGGTCTCCATGTCTATAAATAACTTCTTATGCAGGATTAGAGTTTCTATAAGATTTTTGCATTTCACAATCTCCTACTATTTTCCCTGTCTGGGAAACAGTAAGTCTTCTAGTATATGTCTTTGGGACCTGGGGCCCCAGGAGTGTGTCAGGATGGAAATGAGACACATGAGTGTATTTCTTCAGGCTGTCATTGATGGGCACGTTCGATGACTCAGGTCTTTTGACAGGTGCCAAGGCTATAAGCAAACCCAGGACCAAGCATTTAGTGGTTTGCACACAATTAGGAGGAAAAGACTCACAAGCATTAAGTAGTATAGAGTGGAGAAGGCTTCATGAATGAAATGTCTGTCAAGGATGCAAAGGAAGAAGGAATGATTGATTCTACTTGAACAGATTAAGAAAGATTTCACAGAACCAAACCTTGAAAGATATTGCGGAAGCAAGTAGGGAGATGATATCCCAGGCAAAGGAAAGCAGTTTGATCAAAGTCTTAGAGGTGTGTGACAAGGTATGTTCCATGAACTGCAACTAATGACAAGGTCATCCCTTGTCAGTACAGTGAGAGATGAAATCTAAGATGCTGGCCAGGCCAGATCACGCATATGCTCCTGAAATATACCGAGCACTTTCTACTTTGTGCTGCAGGTCGTGGGAAGTCATTAAAGGGCTTTAAGCAGGAGAACATCATGACCATATGTTCATCTTTATTTTTTAAAGACCATTTTGATAAGCTGGATCATGGAAATAGCGGCAGTCAATTTTTAAAATTCTTTTTTATATTCATTCATCACTGAATATTAAGGCCCTACTATGAATCAGCTTTTGTCTATATGTATGATATGAGGATATGAACAAAGAGTATACATTCAGTTTTGAGCACACTGTGACTCTCAGAGGCATCAGATAAAGTAAGTCTCATTATCTAAATAGGGCCAGTGAATAACTGCTCATCCAAAAGTGCTCCCTTTAAATAAAGCCTTATGTTCCCATTGAGAAGTGTTTTCCTGGATTCAGCGCTGCCGAGAATAATTAGGCCACTTGCATGTGAATTGGGGGATTATGTGTTGTACAGGTCCTTCTCTTCATTGGGTAGAACAGATATCATGTGGTAACCAATTTCTACATCAAATCCAATGTAACCCTATAATGGGAACTCAATTTTGAACTGCATGTAAATACACGTTTGGCAAAACCACACTCTCTTAGTGTGATTGCGTCTGATCAGGTACCAGGTGTATCGATTGTCCATTTTCCTTCACCGTTTCTCCTAGATTATGAGTACTGGAGAGTCCTTATCATCACTTGAAGTGGTTCTCAACTGGGAATGCACATCATGATCATGGAGGAGTTTTTTTTTAAATGTGCATATTTAGGTATCACCCAAGAAATGCTGGTTCCCAGGTTAGGACTAGAGAGCCCAGGGAAACTTGTAGTGTTAAAAGCGTCCCCAGGGGATTTTCTCATTCTCATGCATTCTCCTCCTTGGAAAGCCACTAAGGCTAATTTGATATCTCTTACAACATAGCCAAGGCATAGCTTGTTAGAGCCCAGCCTAAAAGTACGATTCCCTGAGGCCCAGCCCAGAGCAATTTCTATTTCATCACCTCTACCCGTGTTCTTCCAGCCTGCCCTGGACCTTGAGACAAGATATCTGTGTTTGCACTGCTTTTATCTGGGAGATATGGCAGGAGGAAACCTGCAATCTAAGTGCATTATTCAGCTCAAACTGCTATAACAAAGTACCGTAGACTAGGTGGTTTAAACAACAGACATTTATTTCTCACAGTTCTATAGTCTGGAAGTCCCAGATCAGAGTACCAGCATGGTTGGCTTCTTGATGAGAGCTCTCTTCCCCTTCGCAAATGGCAAAGGGGTGGGGTGAGAAGGGGACATGGGAAAGAGATGAGAGGAAAGGGAGAGGGAGGAAGAAAAGGAAGGAGGAGGAGAGAGAGAAAAAGTGAGAGTGAGTGTTAGCTCTCTGGTGTCTCTCCTTATAAGGGCGCTAATTTCATTATTAGGACCCCACCCTCAGGACCTCATCTAAACCTAATTACCTCCTAAAGATCCCATCTTCTAATACCATCACATTGGGGATTATGTCTTCAATATATGAATTTTGGGGAAACAGAATTCACTCTGTAATACCAGGAGATTGATTCTAGCTGGGCATTAAAGTCACCTGGGGACTGTCACTAAAATACTAGTGTCCTGGTCCTAGCCCATGAGATTTGGGTTTAATATGTTTGCCAGACCTAATTCTTCATCCTGCTAGTGAAGTAATTTCACTCAAAGTCTAAAATGTTCTCATCTGCAAAATGGGAATGATGCCACAATCTATACTAAAGATTACATGAGATTATAGATATCAAAAGGGTTGGTCACCTCTAAAACATTACAAAAATATCATTTTCATCTTTATTAACCCACTTCCTTTCATCGATGAGCAGTTTCAGATGAAATGTCAGTATTTTAAGTTTTCTCTATCAGAGTGTTTACGGCCAGGTTTCCTAGTAGGTCTGAATTGGAACTGCTGCCCCCTGAATATGTCCGGAAGGCCATGCAGCAGGAGGGCATAGCTTAGGGGTCACAAATTTAAATATCTACAGGGCCCGGGCAGATCATGCAAATGAGGGAAGAGAGGGCTGGCTGCAGAAAAATGGTTGGGTGCATCAATCAGCACTCAGCTACTTTGATTGAGACATGGTAGAAAGAAATGTCTCTCTACTATTAGAAAAGTAATAGTGCAGACATGGTGACAACTGGCAGCTGGCGTTAGACTCTCAGGCTTGGGGGAACTAGAGAGCGAATGTCCAACTGAAAGGGGTAGCTGTTTATACTCAGGCCAGCATTGCCAGATCGTCCAGGTCCCCCCCCCCCCAGAATCCAAGCTTTTATGTAAAAGCTCTTGATGTTTAAGTGCTAGTAACTAATTTAAAAAACAAAACAAAATGAAACAGTGAGCATTTCACAGGGTAACATTGACTGGTATAAACAAAATATATGCGCAGTCTGAATTTTGCCTGTGTGCCCAAATTGGCCTGCATACTATCAGTGGATAACCGTTTCTTTAGGCCATGCACTCCGTCCTGCCCATCAACGAACCATTGTTTTTTAAACATATTGTTTATCCACAAACAAAATTCATCGCTGCACTGGAGCCCAGTTGGCAATCTCTGGCATGGAGCCTCATTTCCTTTGACTGAATTTTCTTGCATTTATTTCTGTGGCTTATATTCATTTATGCTATCAATATTTACTGAGCAGATACTGTGCTAGATGATAAGGATGCAAAATTCCAAAAGACATAGTCTCTAGTCCCTGCCCTGTGTTGCTTCCAGTCTAGTCTAGGCAATGTGCCCAGGGCAATGACTGAGGCCAGAAAGAATATAATGGAAATATGGAACAAAGATGTGTAACCCAACCTCCTGTAGATAGCTCATTTCTTCTGGTTCTTTCAACTAATAACAGAAAATGCCCTCCTTTTTCCTTTTACCCACTTTTTCCCCCTCCTTTTTTTTTTTTGAACATTTGGCCAACATAGTAAGCCCACTGTGTGAAAACCACATCTAACCTTTGGCTTTTTTGATGCTTAGGAAATATTTGATGTCATGGTATAAAACTAAAAGTCACTCCACCCAATACAGTGCTGATACCTAATACTGTCAACATCGTATTTGAAATGCATGTGTGATAGTTGTGTTCAGCCAGAAACAAAAGTACCCGGGTGTGTTTGGTTCACGCGGGGCCCTAGCCTTCACATTCCTTATCCTGGTTTTTGGCACTCAGTGACGCTGAGTGGCTCACCTTGGCGACTGTTTCTTGTAGCAGGCTTCTCTCCAGGGGAGTGTCTCCCAAACCTTGAGATGGTTATCTGTTAATAGAAGGAAAAACAAGTTGTGAAAGTAGGCCACGCGCGTCACCGATAAACACGAAAATTTCGTTGGTGAGAGCCCTCCTCTCCTTGCCAAAGTGACCTTGGTTGGCGCGAAGATGACAGAGTGCTTCCCTGCCCGGCTCTGACAGCATTGCTATCACAGCACGTTTGACAAATCGTTCACATTAAATTGGGGGGCACTTTCGGCAGCACCGACGTCCCCTCTCCATCACTCCTGATTACCACACAAACGTCAACCATGGCACCAAGCACATTTGTCACAGGGACTAAAAAGCAGTTGTTAGTAAGAGCGCTACCTGTCATACTAATGGACTAGAGCTTGTTGCTTTGTGTCTCGCAGGAGCCTACAGATTTGCAAAAAAACAAAACATAATTTTTTTTTGGAAGGTTGTCCAGTGTTTCTTGAAAATGCTTTTGTGCTTTGATAGAGAGAGGTATATTGAAAGCTTGTCAGATGGGACACCCGAATGCCTTCTCTTGGAAGGGGAAACAGATTCTGATTTTTTTTTTTTAGGTGACTTTGCTGTTTAGTGACTGCTGTCATTTCTTTGTGGTCAAACAGGCAATGGCAAGTTTTTCTGTGAAGGAAATCTATACCCTATACATTTTAATTAGATTAGTAAAAAACAAATAAGTGGAGCAATTCTTTGCAATTCATTAGTTCCCTTTGTCTTTAAACTTTATGAAATTATTTGAAGGAGGTAGAGGATGAGCTTGTTTCTTCCCATCACCATGTCCTTGTCATCATAGGTGCCATGCTTTCCATTGTGCTTCATGTGTCATTTATATGCTTTCTTTTATAGTCTGGCCATAAGCCAGGCCAGTCACACACTACTATTCCCATTTTAGAGGTGGCAAAACTGAGAATCAGAAAGTTTGCTGCCAAGGATTACACAGGTACTGTCACATTTGTAGTTCATGCCTTTTGACTCCAGTTCATAATATCCATTGTATTTGGATATCCAATAAAGATCGTGCAACTTATTTAAATGATTCCTCTGTCGGCACACATTGCTGTTCACCCTTCTGTTTCCAAGCCATTCTTCTCCCCAAGTCCTCCTGCTACTCAGTATCAATACATAGTTTTTTCTTTGGCAGAAGATGCAAAATACTTCATTTCAAAATTAGGGAAAGAAAAGTGAAAGTAATGGAAGAGAACTGGGTTGCAAACTTTCATCTGACTGGACTTTATAAAGTAGAGTCCACTACTCTAAGTCATTGTTTAAGGGAGTGATTTTGGTACTGCAGACAGAGGGGGTCGTGGTGCTAGAATTTGAGAACCCTTGCTATAAAACATTCTGTCTTTTGTGGGCTAATGAGGGGCCCCTTTGGCTTTTGAAAAGATAGGAAAAGACAAACTGTTTTTCTTTTTCACACCCTCAACACTGACTACTGCACCTCTCGTCTCCAAAATGTATTCCTCCCCACCAGCCACCAATCAGTTCTGCAGGGGACACCAGCTGTGTGTTCCATCATTCAATTCTGACACTATCTACCCAGATCCAGTGTTAGATCCCACCGGTGAAGGGCTCAGGCTCACAAGGCTGCCAACTCTTCAGATGCCAATCACAAGCCCCAGGTTGTGACCTGTATTTCTGATTGGCTATAAATTTGAATTCTTACAACCTTCTCCTTTGGATTCAATTAATTTGCTAGAGTGGCTCACAGAACTCATGGAGATACTTTACTTACATTTACCCACTTATTATAAAGGATACAGATGAATAGCCAGATGGAAGAGATGCAAAGGGCAAGGTGTAGGAGGGAAGGGGTGCAGGGCTTCAGGCCGGCCCTGGCTGCACCACCCTCCAGGAACTTCCACGTGTTCAGATATCCAGAAGTTCCCAAACCCTGTCCAGTGGGTTTTTATGGGGGCTTCATAATGTAGGCATGATTGACTACATCATTGGACATTGGTGATCCATTCAACCTTCAGCCCTTCTCCTTTCTCTAGAGGTTGGGTGGCAGAGCTGAGAGTCCCAACCTTCTAATCATGCCTTGGTCCTTCTGGTGACCAGTCCTATTCTGAAGCTATCTAGGGGCCCCTAGCCACCAGTCGTCTCATTAGCATACAAAAGACACTCATCACTCCAGAGATACCAAGGGTTTTAAAAGCTGTGTGTCAGGAACCAGTAACAGAGACAAAAACTTATATTTCTTGTTATCTTACAGTATCATAGGCTTCTTGTGAATTCACTCTTCTAAGTGATGTAATAAGCTGGAATGATAAACTTGAGATGGGATAACGTTAATAAAGAACTTGTTAAGTGCTTGATTCCTTTCTTATTTTATTCCACAAGTCTTTAGATCAGTGTTTCTGGATTGCCATGCTGGGTTATCTCCATTGGATGTTTTAGTTACCATCAATTTCTTTTTCATGGAAAAATATATGATCTGTGAGTGGCTTCTTCATTTTAACCTTCTCATATCTCTAGGCAGGAAGCCTCAATGTATGAAAATCTCCTTGAATCAAAAGGAGACAATCCCTTGTAAGTACATCCGTTCATCAGATTTTATTATAGACTTACTCTGTGGCCAGCACTGGACTAAGCTCTGAGAAAACCACAGGGAATCTGGGTCTCCTGTTGGCTTAATGTAGATTATCTTATAAGCAGAAATGGTCTTAGGCTTTGGGCGTGCCCACCATAACCGTAGACCTTCCCAAAACATCCTCCTTCATAACCTTCTGACTGTTCTTCAGGGCTTTGCATTATTTGATCCCACTCATGTCCCACTTTTATTCTCAGTGAGCTATTACAGTGTAATTCTTTCTTTTCAGATCAGAGTGCCATTTAACATTTTTAATATCTCTACTTGTTTTCTTTTCATTAGTGGCAGGTTTTCGTTTATGCTGCAGTATATAAAACTGATCAAAGAAGAGCAATTGTGGTTGGAACGGGAGGGGTGGGGTACCCTGGGCAACTCCTTAGAGTGTATAGTCCTGAGAGAAGAAGGTGGGGAAAACCTTGGTCTAGATGGTGCCACAGAAGGAGGTTGTGTCCCTTTCTAGACCTCCATCTTCTCTGTCTGGATGTGCTATTCAAGCAACAAGAGTAGGTTGGGATGTTCATGCCAGGAGGAAGGAAGAGTTCATCATAGAAGTCTAGATAGGGCAGTAGTTTGAGGATATTTAACATGTAGATTGAATGATGGCTACTGTAACAAAATACCATAAACTGGGTAGTGTACAAATAGCAGGCATTTGTTTTTCACAGTTCTGGAGACTGGAAAGTACGAGATCAAGTCATTTTCGGTGTCTGGTGAGGGCCCACTTTCTGATTCACAGATGGCCCCCTCTCACTGTGTCTTCCATGGTGGTGGGGACAAGGCAGCTCTCTGGGGCTTCTTTTCTAAGGACATGAATTCCATTCATGAGGGCTTCCTTCTCGTGGACCTAATACCAGCACATTAAGATTGGGTTTCAACTATGAATTTTGGAGGGACGCAAACATTCAGACCATAGGAAGGAAGAACAACTTGCATTTTGTTTCATGTTCCAAATACTCTCAAGTAATTTCATACACATTTACCTCCACTGATCCATATTTCCACCCCATGAGTTTATTCCAGTGCTTATGTTACTTTACAAAAATGCTTATGTTCATTACAAAAATGAAATCACAATGTTTTGTCCAACATAAGAATTCAGTGAATTATTATTGGAGCCAGGACTGGAACATGAGTTCTCAGCATCTGGCACTTCTACCTTCTTTTGCAACCCCCTGACCCCAGCTCGTGGCAGCACAGTGGAATCCTACGTAGAGCTGGTCCTCACCATCCATTGCTCTCTGCTTCCACCCTCATGACTAAGCTTACACATGCACATTTCTACCTGTAGAAGAGTTTTAATCAAGACATGCATTTCCATGGAAATGAACTCACCCTCCCCCAAAAAACATATAAGTAGAAAGTGGCATTTATTTAATTTTCATGAGCTACATTGCCTTATTTCCTTTATGTCTAGGCATACTGCATGATTTTTTAAAGGCTAGGAAATGTGACCCTGTGTTAATTTCCATGGCTACGTCCCCAGTCATCCAACGGTGGCTTAGTGGCATATGATATATTCAATACATTTTAAACACTGCTGCATTTAAAAATAACTTTAAAAGGTTGTAAATGTCAAATTGAGATTTGAAATATGTCAGATAGCTGTCATTTTTACACCCTTCATTAATTTCAATTGGACTCAGTGAATTGTATTTGACAAACTGTTATCATACATTGACTACAAGCATGCTACATTTATGTAGCACATTCCTGACATACGGAATGTTTTGAGGGGAACTTTAATATATGACTTCTCTTTGACCTCCTGGATGACATGAGACTATCAAATGACAAGTGTGGCAGCATTCAACTCTAAGGTTTCCCAAATGGTGGCATTTGGAAAATCTTCAAGAGGCTTGTTCAGAAATGGAAGTGTCCACTGGAGAATTTCTGATAACAAAAATAGACACATTTTTCTCTCGGTGCAGAAATTGCAAAATTTGGACTACAGCTAAAAGGAAAGGGGGTTGTGAATAAAGATTTCCTATTAGCAGATCTGAGCAGGTGGAGATGTGATGGAAGAGTCAGGGCTGGTTATAAAAATACTATCATTATTAAAATTAATAGCAATTACCAACTATTAAGTGCTATATGAAGAGCATGATACGTAGAACACTGTGCTTAAAAACCCATGTTCTGGTGTCAGATTGTGTAAGTTCAAATGCAGGCTCTACCACTTTACTCTGTCTGTAACCCTGGGCGAGTCACTTAACATCTAGATGCCTCAATTTTCTAATTTGTAAATTCGGGATAATAATATTACTTACCTCTTGGGGTTTACTATGAGGATAATCTGCATTCAGTGAATGGTGGCTGTTATTATTATATGCCAGGGCTGTACTAAGCGCTTTGCATTTAATTTTCCAGCCGCCCTGTGAGACGGATATTACTGGTAGCATTGTTCATTTGCAAATGAAGCAATGAAGACTCCAGGGGATGTTTATTTATCCAGAGTTCTCCACCTACTAGTTGGTAAAAGAAGGGAGTCAGGTAACTGAAGACACCTTTTAGGTCAGTCTGTTCATCTGTAAAAGGTGATCATTGAACTTGAAGTTCTCTTGTCATCGACTGTTACTGGATGCAGTGACAATAGGAGCCAGCTCCCTGTCACCCACTGAGAAAGATGAGCTCCATAAATCCAAGCCCTAGTTCACAGAAAGCCAAGTTCATGTCTGGCCAGGACTGGGCAGCTGGTTTTTAAAACACGCACATCCTTACATTTGCTCCCTTTTTAAAAACCTAAGTCAGGCTTTACATGTACATAAGAATGTTAGTGTCGTACTTTTAATGTGGCTATAAGGAAAAGGCCAGTAAGTAAATAACCTGCCAAGTATGTTTTTAAAATGCAGCTGTGGAAGAAGTTTTATGTAGAAATCACTAATTTTAAAATCCTATGTTGCTCTGAATAAATGGTTCACTTTTATTATTTGTTTTCTTTTATTTTATCTTGGTTTTAGCAGATAAAAGTATTTGCAAACCTACCAATAATAAACCAGATTTTTAAAACTTCAGGAATTGTTAGAGAGCATTGCATCCGGAGTACTGTCAAGTTCCCAGCTTATGTCCAGACAAATAAATGCAAAATCCGAGCAAGCTGGGAGACAGCACATGCTGCTACTCAGCTCCTGCCGATCTGCTTTAAAACAAAGAGAGAAACAAAGATACATTGTATATGACCTCTATGAGAAATTACACATCTTTCCAATGTATTTAAATTAAAAAAAATGTATAAACACTATTATGTGATAAACAATCCCTGTCTTCAGACCATTTGGGGCCCATATTGGGCCATTTTGTCACTTTTGGTCTAATCCAGTTTCTCTACATAGAAACTTTTCTTTCACCCTGTGGGAAGGTCAAGGTCACCTCTTGACCTCTTCAGGGTCATGAGGGAGTTAGGAGTCATATAGGAGAACCCAGCCCCCCAGGCCTTGGTTAGCTTCACTACATTATCCTGCCACTTTCACTTGTCATACGACAAGGGTAAAGTTGTGCTGTCAGTTAACTAACACGAGAGAGGAAATACTATTTTGCTTTTGTATTTGGGAAGTGAAAAACACTTTCAAGTTGAATTCATAGGCTAAGGACTGTGGGAAAATAAAGGGAGATTTTTCCAGCCTGCGATTTTCTGGTTGCATGAGGAAGAGAGAAACACATCCACATGCACGAGGAAATGGGGATTGCTGGGAGAATCCACGCAAGCCACTTCCAGTCCATGCAGTCGACGTTCCCCAGCAGTTTCGTACAGCTCTCATTCTTTCATCCCATTCTCCTTGAGAGTGAGCATAAAACCCGCACCAAGTATGAGAGAGGGATCTTGCTTCTCTGCACTTCATCGTCATCGATGGCTCCAACTGAAAGCACGTGTTCCCTTTATCTCAAGGGGGGAGTTCGGCATCCTTCATATTAGTTATGTTTATGTAAACGAGGAATCTAAGGGTGAAATTATAATTTATGAGAACTGCATGGAGCTTCTGACAATCCTCATAAACATTCTAAACAACTGTATCTTGTTGCAAAACAAAACATACATTTTTGTCGCCTAATAAGCATTTTTATTATGACATTATTTCTATTCTGGACTGCCCTGTTACGGTGAACAATACGGAGTGGGGTGGGGTGATTTTTTTTTTCCTACATGCTTAGAGGGATTTGTTCACTATAATTCCTCCTTAAGGATTAGTGGGCAGTAAATATTATCCATTATCAAGTCTCATCGATTGGGAAATTGACTACCAGTATCTTTTGAAATCCAGAGGTTATTTTTGTTGTTGCTTGGTTGTTTTTGTTTTGTTTTGTTTTGTTTTAACAAAGTAAGCAGCAAGTTGCAGATCCTTGATACTGAGATTGAGACTCCTTGACTCATTTGGTCTCTACTGTTGTTATTTATTGTATTCTTTTCTGGCCTCTGCAAAAATAAACAGTAAGTGATACTTCTCCAGTTATGTTATGATTTCAGAATATGATAAATGTTCCAGTTGGCATGCCACAGGCTCTGGTAGAGCATGGGAGAGGGACTCAGACGTGTGACATGGCAGATGTCTTTTGAACCGTTAGTACCATCATTGAATAAACAGTCAAAATATCTTAATTATAATTAAGGGAGACAACAGCCCATTTTCTTCCAGAGTTACTCGTTATTTAAAACAAAAAGAAAGGCAAGCCAACTCTCCAATTAGTTCGAACTTTCCTCCCTTTAATATTCTTTATATTGGTGGTGAGAATAGAGACCAAAACCTGTTCATTTTTTTCTCCATTACTCCATTTCTACTTAAGATAGAAAAAATAAAAAATCTACCTTATTTTTTTCCCTAAGACATATTTGAATGAACAGCCATTAGAATCTTAGCTTCCAGTTTAAATGCTCATCCAAGGATAACCAGTGTAATCAGCTGAGCTTGCAAAGAATACACAATCATAAAATCATTTAATTAAATTCTGTCAATGCTGTTTGTTTTGGTGCCCATTTGGGTATTAATAACACCGTTGCTGTTTTTAATGCCAAAGGTTTACCACTTAATTATTATCTTTGCTTATTGGAGATGTTAGCATCAATTTGTAAGGCTCTGTAATCACACAGTGTGTCTTGCTCCACCAGATACAACATGCTTTCCAGAACTAGAGGTTCTAACAGCCTGTGCTTGATCTAAAGATGAAGTGGTGGAAATCAAATGAAAACATTTGTTAAATTGTAAAAATGTAACAGAAAATAAGAGCAGTTATTCAGACTGTGAGTAAATTTGATGGGGTGTGAACTGATCACTTTATTGCACTCTGTTTATAGCATCCTGCCATTTTCGGAGATGGCAGCCCAATCCTTTTCATTGTCTTAATTAGATTAAGAATGGATTAGAGGAGCCAAATCTATTATTAAAAAGGCAATTCTACTGTGTTCCTGAAAACCCCCTTTTGGTTTTTAATTTCTTAAATTCCACTGATGCAAAATAGCAAATGCCTTCCTTGTAATTATGAGCATGTACGCCTTCATTTAAAGGGCTGTAAAAGTATTAGGAAAATCAGATCTTCAATTTTCTTCAAAATTATTTCTGAAAAAATAAGGGAAGAAAGGGAGGGAGAGAGGGGATGGAGTGCTACATTTCTTTTTGCTGTGATGAAAAACATGAGGAAACAAACAATGTAATTGTTTTCTTCTCCTTTTGATTTGTTCAAACATAAAAAGGGCAATGCATACTTATATGAACCGACAATTTTTCCATATACGTTTGTTGTTTCAATTTACTTCCACACCTGAAATAGTTGAACGTGTAGGTTTCTTATACTTCTGACTTAGATTGCATATTGGTTCTGTGGGAAATCTTCCAGGATGATTATCTGGTTTTGCATTTTGTATATCCATCTCTCTCATGTGCCTATACAAATGCAACTTTCAGTTTAAAGTTTTGCGTTCTGATCTGCTATAAACATTATACACGTATTGCTTTAAACTCCAGGTGGAGCAGAGCTGCTGTGTTGGAAACCGGTGCTTTTTTTTCCCAATAGGTGCCCTAGTTTTAATTTATTATTGTTTTTTCCCCTCTAAACTGTGTCACCTTGAGATGCTATATTTTACATATTTTCTCTACATTTTAAAATTACTATATAGTCAGTCAGGTGATAAAAATTTCATCATTTACATGCACAAATGAGTGCATGTAAAAACTGGAAAAGTTCAAATAAGGTCTCTGGTTTACTTAATAGTACTATTTACTTAATAGCAAATATTATACCAGTGTTGATTTCCTGGTTTTGATACTGTACTATAGTTATGTAAGATGATCTTGGAGAAAAACTGAGTGAAAGCTACCCAAGAACTCTTTGTACTATTTTGTCAACTTAAATTATTTCAAAATAAAAAGTTTAAAAATTCAATATATAGTTTTAGTCCATTGACTTCTAAATTGCTACCAGAAAATATTGATCCCTACTTGATCTATATTAAATTAATTTTGTTTTAATAAACAAAATTAACACAATCAGATATCACCAGCCTTTTGAAGACTCACAATTCTCTTCTTCTAACTCTGGCTTTGTTGCATTTCCTACCCACTCAATTCTAGTGCCCGTTAGTATAGGGTTCATATTTGAATGCTCTTTGTATCCACAGAGCCCAACATTGTGCTCTGGACATAGTTTTTCTGGCAGTGCATTTAACTGTTAAATATTTAAATTGAAATATTTAGTCATGGAAGGATGGCTAAGTGAGTAAAGAACCACTATACTAGCACAATGCTTGCTGCACAGTAAACTTTCTGTACATATTCTGAATGAAGGAATAAGTTAATTAATCAATTTTGTTCACATGTGAATTTCATACCTTAGCAAGATAGGACCCAGTGACTGCTAAGCCATCTGTTCTCTTGAGCCCTATGTGATGGACTCGGATTCTGAGATTGCTCATTAATTGTCATCGCTTCAGTGTGGTTCCGTGCTTGGGATTGGAGGTCTTGAGGTGATACCTAATTTAGGAAGACTATGACAAAATTTATCACTAATTACCTGCCCCTCAAATGGGAATCAATGCCATCAGCAGCATTCAATGGTGATAATAATGGTTATCATTTATCAAGTGATTAGTATTCTAAGCATTTTACCTGTTTCCCTCACTTTAATTTTACTCCGTTGCTAGCTTAAAGTTTAGGAAAAAAACGTATGTCCAGGGTCACCTGAAGTTGGCTTGTGAGTGGCAGAACAGGGCTCGAACCCAGGAAGCCTGGCTCCAGGGCATATGCTCTTAACTATCACCTACAGGGTCTCCCCTTCATGTGTATGCCCTTATCCTCTTCAATGGTGCGTGGTTGTATTAGATGTATTAGAACACTGGAGATGTATTAGAACTCTCTTGGGGACCTCTTCCTGGACCCACTCCCAGTTACACTTATTTATTTACTTTGTCTGGGGCTGGGCATTTTGTTAAACTTCCGAGGTGATTGTAATGTGCAGCCACGGTGAGCATCACTCGCTTAGCTGAATGTCAGAACTCCTTCAACGTCCGTGAATAGTGGACGCTATTTATTCTACTTCTAAGTTCATTAAGTCCATGCACAGCTACAGCAAAACAGAGTGGTTGTCCCAGCCATTTGGAGAGATGGAGCTGGGAGCCCACTCACCTTCTCTGCAATAAATCTCCCCACATGTTGTGAAGCAACCTGCTTTTTATGTTCTCAGCTAGAGGGTTTCCATCTCTGCCCTGCACCATCTGTCATGGATGTTCATTTTAATAGCATTTTACCTGTATAAAGGTGTCTATCCCCCCCTACATTCCAAGAAGAAGAGGATCTAAACCAGAAATCCTAAAAGTTACCCAAGCAGTTTATTGAGGCAGTTCAGGTAAATCAGTGAAGAAAACAGATCACCAAGTAGTGAACACCCCCTTTTGTAAAAGACAATTGGGATGGTTGTCACTAGGGCACACTGGAGAGTGTATGTCCCATTACAAGGGGCACTCACTACTCACATCCCATAAGGTAGGCACATAGAAATACCGCCCAGTATGCTAGATCTTCCAGTTTCTCGGGAGACTACAGAAATCTAAGTTTTTGTTTGTTTTGCTTGGTTTTGTTTTGTTTTTCTATTGTGAAATGACTTGACAGATAGTCCCATCTGTTTTCTTTTCTGCACTGTACAGGTCAATATTGTGTCACCAGTGACAATGTGGAAGGAATGTACACAGCTCAGAGAAAGTAGCACCTTTATGTAAATACTTTTTTTTTTTTTTTTGCATTTTTAAGTAAATTCTTGATCCTTTCTCACTAACTACCAAGTATGACAGGCCCCAATCTTTGTCAGAGACTGGCATTCTGGCTTTAGACAAGGCAAAGAATTTAGTGGACCCTGTTTCCTCTCCTGTGAAATTGAACCTAGAGGAGGGCATTGTAGAATTAGAGGGTTTGTTAAAGGCATAATCTCTGAAGTTAGGACTGGTATGGATTGGATGGGATCCTGGTGCTGCTACTTACCAGCTCTGTGAATTTTAATAAGTTATTTAGCACTGAGCCTACATGCCCGCCTCTATAAAAATGGAAACATAAGATAACTGACTCTCATGGTTGTCCTGAGTATTAAAATAAATTGTGCATGCAAAGTGCTTAGACCTGGTAAAGCACCAGTTCTACTAATAATAAAAGGTATATTTAATGACAGCAATGTTTTCAATAGCCTAAAATCAGCCAAACCATTGCCCGAGACTTTGTCCCATTGCTCTGGTTGGCCCTGAGCGTTGTGTTGGATAAACATGCTCACTCCGATTTTGCCAGTCCTTTTATTGCTACTTCAAGACCTTTCCCTGTTAGTCCTTTTCTGAAATTAGTAGGACTGACAGCTCCATGGTGAGGGACAAAATCCAAGTTTTCTAACTCCTTTCTACCCCCCACTAATAGAGCCCATACTGATCTGGAGGTTATGCCTGTAGAACCAGAGGAAATATCTCCTTGGGATGATTAGAAGCAAAGTGTGATTAATAATGAATATATGTATGTATTTTAAGAGTAGGGTTGTGTTAAAATGTGAAGAGTCAATAAATGCCTGTTAACCTTGTCAGAGGTCAATAGTCGGCCGGGTGGTTGGTTCTGCAGCCTGAGCATCTGCAGTCTAATTCAGACCTGCCCTTGGATCTGACAATGGTACATGCAATTAGGAAAATGTCTCTGTAATAATGGTAATCGGTGTAAACCAAGAGGACAGGGCACAGCTGTGGGGAGCATTTGGAGAGAGGAATCAGAACAATTCATGCACTCCTGAGAAAGCAAGCCTCAAGCTATCCTTTTTCAGTATAAGTCTGCAGTAGCTTTCAATTCCCTCTTGAAAAGTTGACTGAAAAGCATTTTAAAAATAAGTGTAGGACTCTTAAGTCAAAAACTGTTCATGGTCCTCTTTCTTTCCTCCCAACTCATGAATGGGTTGGGATTATGGATCTTCCTTTTTCATAACGCCACTATGGATTTAAATATCTAACTCAAACTCTATTGGATAAAACTTTGCTCTTTGGCTGTTATTTTTTTTTTTCCCCTCAAGAAGTGAGCTCAAAATGTGCTATAGAAAATCTGTCTCTTGAGAACATATATCAATTCAGCTTTGCGCCACTTGAAATGTTGATATTTGTAAATGAGAGAGCTCCCGTGCTAGACTTACAGCCCTCCTCTCCTCTTTCAGTTCTTAAGAGAAGCAATCTTCAGAGAAGAAACGTTTTTTACTCATCTTTGATTTTGAAAGAGATTTAGAGGTCTGGGCCACCTTCATGTCCCAGGTTATTTTTTAGTCTTCCCGTTGTTCACTTTCTCTAACCCCTAAGTAACAGACAAGAGTTCCCTGGCTTCTCCCCATAAAAAAGATAATGCCTCAATTCACAACCAGCTCTGAATAATTAATGATGATAATGATGTGAGAATGTTTCACATTTATGACTGTTTTAGATTTCCCTTTTACATCCATTTTTCTTTTTGATCCTAATGCCAACCTAAGACGGAAGAAGAAAGACAGGATGGAAAAGACTTTGGACGTTTATTTATCCTTTGATTTACTCATCCATTCAACAATTTTTTAAGAAGTAATTATGTGTGCTAGACATTGTTCTAGGAGCAAAGTCTACAGCATGGAAGAGACAAGGTCTCAATGCATTTTATTGGGAGGACCAGGCAATAATTACACAAATGAATGAATAAGATCATTTCAGATAATGATACTTGCTGTGAAGAAAATAAAACAGGATGTCTTTGGAGAGAATCTACCATTGTTGGTTTAGATTGGGTTGTCAGAGAAAGCCATGCAGGGGTGAGGACATTTGAACTGCAATCTAAGTGATTTAAGAAAAGCCATGGTTGAGGTCTTGGGAAAGCAAGTCAAATTCAAAGCCCCCCAGGTGAGAAGACTGGTGGAGTGGGAAGAATGGTGGGAGATACAGGGAAAGGTAAGCAGGGGCCAGGTCATTTGGGACCTTCTACGTCATGGCAAGGATATTAAATGAGCCATTACTTCATTGTGGGATACCTAACATAGGTATGCAGTTAGCAAACACGTTTGATATAGACTGAGCTGGAGTGTTTCAAATTGTGGTCGTGGCCCACGTGCATCAAAGTCATCTAGGGGTGCTTATTTCAAATGACAATTTTGGGGACCCCACTGCATGCTTATGAATTCAGAATTTCTGAGGGTGGAGCTGTTAATCCGCATTTTCGACAAACTCTTAGGCGCAATTTGAGAATTGGCCGCATTTTCACTTCTCTTAAGAAGCTCCTACTATACTGTAAAAATCTCTAAGGCCAAAATGGTTAGGCTGAGGGGAGTGCATATTTAATGAGAATCTCCTGCTGACAGCTGCATGTGTTTACACTATTTTATATACTGGATCTTAATAAGATTACATAAGTGTCTCCATTTTTCACATGTTTGCAATTTATCTTTATTAATTCAAGCAAAATGAGTGAAATTGGGAAATTAATTATCTTTCCACTTTTGTAGTATTTGGTTTATTTGATTTTATTATCAAAAAGTAAACAGAAGCTTGGCTGAGGGAGACATGTGTTGAGAAATAACCCTCTGGGCTGTTCGTACTAGCAAACCTCTGAAATCTGAGAGCTCAGGACTAGAACATTCCACATATAAGTATGCCATGCTTTCAACACCTATATTTGCCTTAATGAACTAATTATTTTTAAAAGGAGAAGAATTCGATAAAACAATGACTTGAGCTTCAGAGTAAACTTCTACCTGTGGGCACGTGCTATCCAAATGTCAGCAAAGATTTAGGTTCCTCTTCTCTCCCCTGTTCGGTTTTTAGAAAGACATCAGAGGAAAAGATCCAGCGTTAGTCATACCACAAGGTTCAAATGTGAGTGTTGTTCCCATTCCGAGTACATTGTGTTTTTAAAAATCCCTCAAACCCTGTAGACATGGAAATTGCTTAAAGTAGTGTTTCCAGGCATGAAGATGACAGATCCTCAGCTGGAAGGAGGGATGTGGCTTAAGAGCTATCTTGCTGTATGTATGTTCCAATTCAAACAGCCACAGAGGAGGCCAGAAGGGTGGGAATTCCTTCCTGTCATCTTCAGAGTTTTCGCTCCGTTTGCTCCTCTCCGATGTTCCCCTCTCTCGCTGACTTGCCAAAGCTGCATCACGGGTTGTCACCTATTTTCTCTTCCTGCTACCTGTGTCCTAACAAAATATGCAATTGTTTGTTCTTGTGGCAGGGAAACCAGGAAAAGCAAATGTTTTTTAAGCATTTTTTAAGCATTTTATTATTTAGCAAATTTTAAGCATTTTTTTTAAGCATTTTATAAATATCTCTTATATCTTGTCCTCCTAAAAATAAAATGACACAGTAAGACACTGCATGACATGGCAGAAAGGTAAGCTTTGCTTTGGGGACCCCAGCCCAAGAAATGGGGCTGGTATTTTTTGTTCCAGAGCCAAGTACTTTGAATGTAGATCATTTAATAAGGTCCCATCCTCCTCTCCTTAAAAAAAAAAAAAAAAAGAGAGAGACTACATTTGTTTCACTTTCTGAGTTTTATCTATTTTTTTTTTGTTCTGTTTTATTCAGTGGCATGATTCCTACAGAAAATTCCTAGGATACAGATAAGTGTATCCCCTTTTCCCAACTTGTCTGGTTTTTCTTTATCATTTCAAAGAACACGTGGATTTGTGTTTTGTTTTGTTTTTTAACATTCTTTCAGATTCACCAGCTCCAGTGACTTTAGCCAGTGCAATTTCACTTTCCTTCTTAACTTTAAGCTTACCACCAAACCAGACATTTTTACAACGTGGCAGTCTGCAGGCTACCTCCAGGCCAACAGGAGTTTGTTTAGCCAGCACAGTGATTTTGTTTATTATTATTATTTATTATATTGTTTATTATTACTGAACTAGAATGCCTTTAGATGAGTGAGCTCCCCACAGTGACCTGATTTGCAAGTCCCTCATACCTGGCAGCTTCACACACTGGCCTTAGAAGGAATCCTTGCAAGACCAAGTCTTGTTCTGGTCTCCTTTGTAGCATCTTTGTCTTTTCTTTTGCTTGTACAACTGCTAAGTTTTGGGGAGTGTGCAGGATGCTAGTTGAGCAGCAGATTGTTTTGGTTTTGTTTTTGTTTCTTTTTAAAAAATTTTTTCCTATATATAGTCATATAGAATCTATCTTCTTTGGGAGATTTCAATAATTATTTAAAAGTTAGGTGGTTTTGATGTTTTCTTTGCCAATATGTACCGTCTAATTTATGTGCTACTTCTTACCCTCCCAAAGACAAACTTCCTGATATATAACAAGTTACTCATCCAGGTAAAAAGAGTGTTTTGAGCCTCTGATATTTTGACTCTGCCATGTGGGACTTTGGGATTCAGGAACTTTTCCTTAACAAGAGCCTGATGGCATTCTTTTTACTTAAGACTTCATAACAAGAAGATTTGCTGGGAATGACAAAATATATTCGGTAATATGCTTACCAAACACTTAGCGAAGTGTGTATGTGCAGATACATAATGTCGAGAGCTATAAACAAGGTGCTTCTTGCACTGAGACCATTCTGTTTCATTAAGAAACTATTCACCCTGTTAACTATTTCCACATCCTCTTCTTTCATCACCTAGTTGTGAGTTATTTGCTGATTTCCAGCGTTCTATTCCCTGAGGCCCCGTTTAGCAAATCACTTCCTTAAATCATGGCTGGTTTATCAAAAAGAGATAACTCTCACATCACCTTTTCACAGTAAATGCAGGTTCAGATTTTCACACTCATCTTCATCACCTGTGTTCTAGTCCTAGCAACTGCTGTTCTGAATTTGCTTTTTGTAAAGTGTTTTCAAAGCTAGGACTAAGATGATTTTGCCTACCGCCTACAGCAACTGCCTGTTATTATCAATAAGTTGAATTCCATATGCAATGAGGTGACTTTGTAAAATACAAGACCATTTCGTGGTTGCAGTCATCCTTACTATTCAGATGTATTTTTTTGTCCGTGTTTACCATAATTATTTTATTATCACAGACCATGTGACTGAAGCCATTCAAAATGTTATTGCTATTATTTAACTATTACCTACTGAGTTTTTTAGGGACTATACTTACAACAATGTTTATGAATTATGAAATATTTACTGATGTGTATGTGATTATTTTTATATGTCTGTGTGTCCCAGATAAGGAATAAACAAAGGCAGAGGTAAAGCAACTATAAGTTAGATAAGGAAAGTTGTCTCGGGTGTATCAGTTATCTATTGCTGTGTAACAAATTACTCCAAAACTTGCTGGTTTAAAACCATGAACATTTAATAATGCCCACAATTTTTATGGATCGGAAATTTGGGAGTGGATTAATTAGGCAGCGCCGGTACAAGACCTCTCATGAGGTTGCAGTCAAAATGTCTGCCCAACTGTGGTCATCTCAAGTCTTAATTGGGGAAAAATGATCTTTTTCCTGAATAGCTAAATTATACCAGCTGGCAAATTGGTGCTGGCTGGCTGTTGGTGAGAATCCTAAGATTTTCCCTGCTGGAATTCTTCCCCAAGTTGCTCGAGTGTCTTCGTGACACGACAGCTTGCATCCCCTCAAAGCAGGAGAGTCAAGAGAGAGGAATAAGGAATCTCTACTGTGACCCAGCCTTGGGACCCATTGTTAAGACCCACAGTTATTTCTGCCATGATCTGCTGATCAGAAGTGAGTCACTGAGTCTATCTCACATTAAAGGAGAGAAAGGTTAGGCTCTGTTGGGAAGGAGGAAGTGTCAAAGAATTTGTGAGCATATTCTAAAACTACCACACCAAACTTCTGTAATTGTTAACTTTTATAATACCCATATATTCCCTGAGTTGAGGTCGCTTGTCAATATTTGTCTTTGCCGTTCTCAAAATGTGATCTGAAGGCCACCGTGGAAGGTAGGGTTCTTCAGGTACCCAGAATGGTCTCAGGTTAGACAATGTTACATGGGCTTACATGCTGTGTGTTTCTTTCATGGCTTCAAAGATTGGTTGATATATGTAATAACACTGACACCACTGGTTGCTGTCCCACATAAAGCAATTCCAGTCTTCCCTATTCATTTGGTTAAGTGGCCATTTTTAAAAGAGAAAACAGATGCATGACTAGGTCAGTGGCGTATAAACATGAATTCTGCATATAATTCACCCGAAGCTTTTTAAAAACAAAGATTCCTGGGCACCAGCCCAGATTTACTAAATCATAAGCTCTAGGGAATGGAGCCCTGGGGATTGTTTTGTTTTTTGTTTTTTTTTTAAAGCTTCAGTTGATTCTGATATAGCCAGTTAGGACAGTATTTTGGAACCACTGCCATACACAACTAAATCTCTCTACCAACTAAAATCATTTGAAAAGGACGACATCCTGCAAAAGGGAAATCATTGGCGCTCTCATGATAATCAACCTCATTTTGCTTTCTGAAAAGCCTCCGTCTGGGTTTCCAGGCACTTTCCCCACTCCAGCCCCTTGATGGACAAGGACTGTCTGGTTCTGTCACTGCATCCCCAAAGGCAGTCACACTAGGGGCCGCCACAGTGGTGAGGGCATTGGCCCAGAAATGCATTGTTCACGCCTTCCCGAAGACAATGACTCTCTTTCTGATTAGAGTTGTCCTCCTTTTACCCAAAGGCTTTCCATGCAACCAAGAGAGCATAACAGTGACATGAGGGCTTGGAAAGGAAATGTCTTCATCGATTTTTATTTCATGAATTGGAGCCTCTATAAAAATGGCACAGACTTGTTTTACAGTGTCAATTTGTGGAATAGAGGGGAGGACTGTTAAAACCCATCCATTTTCCCAAAGTTTAAACCACCCTAATGAATTAATCCATAGATAATGGATTGAATTCAGTGCAATTACCCTAGTAAGTAAGGCTTGTTAAAAAGAGATAAGGCAACACACTAAAGAAAACAGCAATTTCAGCTATTAACTGGATTTCATCTGGGCTCTGATAATTCAGTATATGAGTTCCCTTTGAAAAGAGAGAATGTGAGGTCCTATTATCAGTGTAGCTACCAGATGCTGGAGTTCACCTGTTGATATTACACTGCAGAAAAAGACAATAAAACAATAATTCTGACACGATTTTTCCAACAACCTCAAGGTATTTATGATGTATATTTGACATTCCCCAGTAAATCTTTACACATTAAAGCTTTGATTCCCTAAGACAGCAAGCTCATCTTTGTTTCAACTTTACTCTGTATAAATGTATCTCAGTTACATATAAAGAGGTCTACTTTATTTTGAATGAACTGCTAATGAGAAAATTTCTAGTTATCACACAAAATAAGTAGGATCACAAGAATGTCCTGTATGTGTAAATAACTTTGCAGAGGAAAAGAAGTGCTTTAGCAATCACTCTGTGCATATCAAATCTCTGTGCCCAGGCATTAGAAGTTTAACACCCAGCCCTAGGGCTCAGAATGCTGCCAACTTGGAACTTGATTTCTAGAAGCTCACCTGCGTTTGTCTTCTAGTTCTTATTCCTACCACTGTATTCAGGTCTTTGTCCCTCTTGTTTTCTGTTTGTTTTCTTCAGAAAGCTCCTAAGTGACTTCTCTTCTGTCTTGCATATTCCTGCTCTTTGGATTGTATCCAAAGATGGTATTGTCATTTTCTCCCTGCCCTATTAAAAAATCTACAGTCATTTCAATTACTTATAGGTGTGACCCAAAGGCCCCAGCTTAACATTTTAGGCCCTCACTGGTCTAGTTTTCTTCATATTTTCATTGGCTTTTATTATCTTCCTGCATGGTATTATGCTTTGGATGTTCCTTCTTCCTTGTTCACGATCTGAGATTTCTAGTACTATGATAGAGGCCCACCTCCCGAAACTACACCGTAGGTCCCCATCAATTCCTCTTCCTTTCTAAAACATTCTTCTCTTTTCATACCCATTAATCCCCACCACCTAGGAGTGTCTATGGCAGTGGGAAGCAGAGTATAAGGTATAAGTATATAGTAGGGCAGAATATAAGGTGGTGTAGAGATTGTAGGCTTTAGGATAAATTGGCCTGAGTTCAAATTCTGCCTGTAACATTTGTGAATGGTATAACCTTGAACAAACAACCTCTCTGGCCTCAGATTCATTTTGTAATGAGGTAATAATACTACCTTTTAAAAATATGGTACAACTTTAAGTGAGGATAGAGAAAGCCTTTGGCATGCTGTTATTGTTGCTAATATTCTGCAGTTGACCATTTACTCTTATACCCTTGTTTTACTCATTGACTTTTTAACTGTGAATTGCTCGCATTGTCTTCCAAATATATTGGCAATCACCTAAAAAAAGCTTGTGCCTTTGGATCTTCTACTGTTGCATCTGCAATAGAGCTTTGCATAAAGTAATGATAGTGAATAATTATCATAATTTATTAAGCACTTATAGTAAGTCAAGTACTCTGCTATATTAACCCCCCACCAAACAATCTATGAAGTAAATCCTATTATCACCATTTTTCGCATTAGAAAAGTTGGGATTTGAGCTCTAAGGTCTCATAGCATGAACATGGTAGAACAAGACGCTGAACAAGGCCAAAAGGTTAAAATTTTGACTTCTAGAAGAGAGAGAAAGAGAGATTGAGAGAGAGAGAGAGAGACAGACCTAGGTTCAAATCCTGGTTTGCCACTTTCTAGATGTGTGACATTGAGTGAATTTCTTAATCTCTACAAGCCTCAGTTTTCTTTTCTGTAAAATAAGGATATTAATAGTATTTACCTTATAATTCTTCTGAAGATTAAATGAGGTAATATATGTAAAGTACCTGGCATGTTCTAAAGGCTCTATAAATGTTCACTATTAATATCTAATAATTATGTCTGTGTAACTTGCTCACTTAAATCTTATCACAGTGCCTTGTTGGTACATGTTAGTCAATCTATTGTTTGCATATCACAGTCTCTCTGTTCCAAAATAGTTGAAATAAGTCATAGAAAATCTAGGACTGAGCAGGTACATGCATTGATTTCAAACTAGAACATAAACCTGGATGGACTCTGAGCACTTTCAAGGCTTACCGTTGGAGTGATAATAACATTCCATACTCACCTTGGCAGCGTCCAGTAAATACACATGTCTGGTTTTCTCATTGCTATATAGAAAGTCAACTACACTAACGCATAAAACTCTCTGGGGTTTGGGAAAATTATTGCACTGCTTGTTCTTTATGACACCACCCAGGGTGTGTTATAATCACCCAGAAAGGCAGTGCTTGTTGTGTCTTGTTGTGATTCAGTCTCTATGTAGAAAGAGAAGGAGAAAGAGGAAGAGGAGGAGGAGGAGGAAGAAGAAGAGGAGGAGGAGGAGGAGAAATGGGACTGTGCTGTGGGAAATCCAAGTGTAGCAGTCCCCTTTACTCAATGGGGATACCTTTCAAGACCCCCCAGAGGATGGCTGAAACCATAAAGAGTACCAAACCCTATATATAAAATGCACAGATTTCTTTTATCTTCTTCACAGTATCACAGACAGAAGATTCGTTCTTACCGTAGTTCTTAGCAACCTCAGCATATAATTTTTTTTCTTTCCTTATTAAGTTGAGAAATTTTACTTTTTCACTTAAAGGAAGCAGTTTATGGCTTCTCTTTCACGTATTCGAATTGCCCGTATCACCGCTCTTGTGCTTTGGGGCCACCATTAAGTGACATTAGGGTGACTTGAACACAAAGCACTGCGGTACCTGGCAGTAGATCTGATAAGCGAGCCAGCTAGGAAGTGACTAATGGGTGGGGGAGCTTCCACAGCAGGGACACACTGGATGAAGGGGTGACTCAGACCCCGGGCGGGATGCAGTGGGGCAGCGTGAGATTTCATCACACTACTTAGAACGGCACACAGTTTAAAACTTATACATTTTTTATTTTTGGAATTTTCCATTTAATGTTTTCAGACCACAGTTGATCACGGGTAACTGAAGCTGCGGAAAGAGAAACTATCACAGATAAGAGGGGAGCATACTGCACACTCCTTTGGGGGGTTTCAAGGGTCTCGAGACAATATGTGGTGATTTCAGTAACTGTCGATCTTAAAAACATTTCCAGTGAAACCCTCACATTTCTCAAAACAGTTATTCTTTAAAATAGAATAACCATTTATAATATACTTAAAGCCAAATTGGAACAGTATATTAGGAATGTAACATCTAAGAGTGTCACTACTCAGAAGGGAAATTAACAAGGCAGAGATACATGGAGCTATATTTGCGAGTAGTTCTTCTCTACTGGGAAGGCCCCAGAGTGGGAAATTGTCACCTGAGGCAAAATTATGAAGAAGATTGATTCATTTTCAGTCCACCTAGGAAAGTGCTCCCCAGTGTCTTCCTGTAGTCAACAGGGCAGAGATTGCACTTCTAGCATAGTACTTATGGTGGTTATGTACTCATTCACTCATTCAACAATTGTTCATTGAGTGCCTACTGTGTACTATGCGCTATTGTGGCTTTTTGGGCTTTAAGGGAGATGAGATCCCTGCCCTTTTGTTGCTTGCATTATAGTTGAGAGAGACCGTCAGTAAGCTTGGAAATAAATAAACACAATAACTTCCTGTAGTGATTTGGGCTATAAAGAAAAGATAATGAAATACAAAATGGACTGGCAGGCAAAGAGGCTATTTCATAGAGAGTGGTCCGGGCATGGCTCAGTGAGAGTGTGACATTTGAGCTGACACTAGAACATTGAGAAGGTACCAGCTATGGAAAGATCTGGAATTCCAGGCAGAGAAAAGAGCTACATCAAAGGTACTAAGATAGAACCCTGTGGAGTGTGCTCAGAGGTGAAAAGAAACTGGACATGGCTGAAGAGTTGGGAGTAAGGAGGAGAGGGTAGCCGGGGGCCAGCTGGTGTATGTCCTGTAGTTCCCAGCATGCAGTTTGGGGAAGCTCAGCTCTGCCCCTCCAAAGGGGAGTCTTCAAAGGTATAGAAATGAGCTCACTTTCAGTAAGCATTTACTGTATTCCTACTATTGTTCCCGACTTGACTCATCTCACCTTGTCTAAGAATGCTTTCCTTATATCTTAGCCCATAGCCTTTGCCTGTTAACTTATTCTATTCCCTTTTCAAATTTTGCTTTAAACACCACTTCCCCAGGAAAGTGAGGCTTCCCTGAGCCTTTGACTCCTCCCAGCCCCCCTAGGTCAAAACACCTGTCACGCACCCTCATGAACACTTTGGCCTTTTCATTCCTAACGCAGATGGTGGATTGTACTTAAGTCTTTGATTATTGATCTTCCCTTCTCTCTTGATTGTGAGCACGGGCAGGCCAGGAACCCATCAGTTTTGCTCACCGTTGTTCTCTCAGCACCTGCCACGATGCCAGGCACATAGAACATATGCCACTGCTCCTGTCCCTGTTGATCCTGGCAGGACATTGGCTGCCCAGAAGGAGTGGCTGTAACTGCATCACATCTGCGGCCGTCAATCGGGGGTTTTAAACAGCACCTATAGAAGTTGCCTTTCCCACACTCTCAGCCCTCTGATCATGGCTCTAGAGGGCTCTAGAAGCTTCCTGTCAAGGAGGACCTGAAGTGGAAATGAGCATCATGAGTCCCCCTGCTCACTGCAGCGTCTCTGGGGAAGAGCGTCCCTGATCCCAAGATGCCAGGGAACTCCTCGAGGAAGAGGAAGTTCTTGGAGAAAACTGTTCCACATCCTTTGTGAATAAATTGGCCTATTGCAGAGTATGGTGAATATACATGTAAATGTAATAAAATGTCAAAGTGGCACTGGAGAAGAGACTCACTAAATCGACTCAGCACTACATGTGGAATCAGATCTCTAATGCATATTTGTAAGGCAACCAATAGAGCCATATTCCAAACTGCCCCGTTGAGAGAAATAAATCAATTATGAACACTGAAGTGATTAAGCCTTTTTACCTTTCATTGTCAAAGCAGTCCCTTTACTTTGTTTACTTTGGAACGCACCAGTGTAGGTGACTGGTACACACACACACACACACACACACACACATGCACACACACACAACATGCACATGTGTGTATGTAAGGTAGATTAAGTACCCAGCCCAGTATCTAGCACAATGTAGCACTATCCAGCTATTTTTTATAGATTTTTTTAAATGCCCTAGTCTTAATCACATTGACAAAAATCAAAAAACCAAGAGAGGTTCATAGGACCTGACAAGCATGTTTTATTGCTTTAAAGTGTGATTTCTCTGTCATTATCCTGTATCCCTTTCCGAAGTATAGTTGACAGAGTAGATACGTTATGAGTAAGGAGCTAGTAGCAGGAGGAATTGAGAATGCTTGCAAGGTTTCTAGGTTGTGTAATAAAGAATAGCAGTGAAAGAGCAAATTTAGGAGGACATAAAAGTATAATATCAGATATTTTTGAGTTTGAAATATGGGTGACATATCTACATGGAGATTTCTGGAAGGCGGTGGCTCAAGTTAGAAGCTGGGATCCAGTAGTGTTTAGTGAATACCCACAGCCATGCAAAAGATGATGTAGAAACTGGCGGAGTTCTCCAAGTAATTTGGAGGTATGTAGATTTATGAGACAGAGCCCCTCTGTTCAAGGAGTTTACGTTCTTTTCAGGTTGACAAGATAAACTTATCAACACTTACAAGTTTGAAAAGTTTTGCAAAGAATAAATGTTTAGGACCGGAATAGTTGGCATAAGCTTCCAGAAAAGAAAGTTAAGACTTGAATTAGCCCTTGAAAACTTGAGTGGAATTTGGAGAGGAAAGTTTTTAGGAGACATTCAGGGATAATTGGAGCAAATCAGTCAAAATATTCTTGAAAACACATGGCAAATGCTGGCTTTAATCCAAGCAAATTTTACTTCAAAACATCAGGTAGAGTTTCATCTGAAGCTCTCCAAGTGTTAGCTTAAGGGATATTTAAGGGATATTTCTAAAGCATAACTGAATTGGTGGTGCCAATCAACCTAACCATCGTATGGTTTAGCTTGGCTCCCCAAAATACAGTCCTAACAGATTAGCTACCTCTCTTCCCGTCCTCTCTCTGTCTGCCTTTTCTTTCTCTCTCTTCTTTCTGTCCCTCCATCTTTTTAAGACTATTAACTAATCACCTTATATGATCTGGATACCGTACCCTCCTATTCAATTCTACCAAAGAGATTAATCAATGGAAATATATCTTAAAAGAACATCATAGATTATTTTGCAGTCCCTATGTGAAGGGCAGTATTTTTTTATTACCAACAGCAATTTTTCTTTGGTCCATTGATTCAATCCCAAGAAAGAAATTTCCCTCTTTTATCAGGAATGATTGTATGTTTCCTGAGCAACTGGTTTCTTTCTGTCTTATGAATATCAGGGGCGTTGTAACTGCTTGTATTTCCTCTTTAAGTTGGTTGCTAGAAAACATGGGCTTGGAAACAGATTTGTGGCTCGGATGTATGGAATCATAAACTACAGGCTGGGGCATAGGATTCAAAACAGCTCAACAAGTGATTCTGATGATCCAGTGAGATTGAAAACTATGGCTTTTGTTTCTGTTTTTAAGACACGTGCAATTTGTGATGAATATTTGGCCCATGATGGCATCCCAGTGCAGCCCCAGATTACTGGTGCAGATTACTGGGACATGCAAGGAATTCTGGTGATATTTGGATACTTTACAAATAACTTAAGTTTTAAAACTCCATAAAGTTAGAGAACGCCTCTACAAAGTTACGAATTCTCTTTTTGGAATCTTAGTTTTATACTTAAAAATTGGGGTTAATTATTAATGTTAGCATTTGATCAAATCATTAGTATTTGGTTTTAATTGTTGATGTTTTTACACCAAGCACATAGAAGGGGCTTCATAAATGTCTGAGGAATTTAACTGATTTTTTTTTTTATAAGAGAGACACAGAAAAGTTAAATGACTCAATCAGGGTCATCCAGCTACTTAGATGCAGAAACCACTGCTTGTGCTAGGACTCACTCTTTTGATTCATAGTCCAATGTTGTCCTTGTAGTACTGGCTTCATAAAGAAAACTGATGGCTCCGTAAATAAAGTTCTTTTGCCATGTACTTAAGTTAAAGCGATCCCACTTGAATCCCCTGAGTTGCCCAACTTAGCCAGGGAGAAACTGTTAAACCTTTGGTATATTAAAAACCTCTCCAAAGCAGCCATTTATTTGTGCTCAAAAACCTTTTATTTAACTGTTATTTTTGTCTATAATCATAGAGATGAGCACCAAAGAGAGGTTTTTGTGAACATAACTAGAATGTTAGACATTGATTGTGGTCGATGAGTCCATGGTTGAGTTTTTGGCCGATCAGAATATTACGGGATACTAGCATGTTCAAGTCCCAAGTGGGAAATGCTATACTTTTAAACATTGACTTTGCCATTTTTTTAGAGCAGTGTTTCTCAAATGTGGTGCAGGAAGGAGCTATTGAACTTCTTTTCACTTATTTGATCACATCTTTGTAAAATGCTATGTACATTTAATAGCATATGCAATAATAGCAGATACATAGTTTATATATAGAAGTATATAACTTATAAATAAGTATACGTAAAATGTGCATTTGTGCCCTTTAAAAAAAACTGATATGAACACATACCAGTATAAATTTCAGACCACTGATACAGTTCTGAAAACTAATTTTTCATTTGTTTCTATCCAAGACCACTAAGAGAAACAAACCCACCATAGGTTCTTTCCTCTCTTCCAGTCTCCCTCCTTCCCTCCTTCTCTCTCTCTCTCTCTCTCTCTCTCTCTCTCTCTCTCTCTCTCTCTTTTTCTTTCTTATTTATTTATTTTTTCTGAGATGTTCTCTAAGGGCATATCTGCATTCTCAATAGACCAAACTCAAAGAAATAGCAGTTACAAAGTTGAACCAATCACCAGTCCCAATAGTAACTAAGCATTCCAGCCGTTAACCAAACTCATTAGCTGTATCAGTACGTTGTCTTAAAATATTCTCTAAACATCATCCTAATTTCCCTAAGTATAAGAATTGTATTATTGATACAATCTTTTCTTTTCTTTCTTTCTTTGTTTTTTTTTTTTTTTTTTTTTTGATAATCACATACTTAACTTTATATGCTGGGCAAGAAATATATAAGGTAGAGTTTTTTGGTTTTTTTTTTTTTAAATCATTGCCTAGCTTAGTCAATTTTAATGTATGTATGAGCCTACCTTAAAAAAAGTCTTATTTTTAAAATATTTAATTCACCTTCTCACAAGAGGATTTCCACATATTTAAAAGCTTTTTATCTTTAAAGAAATAAATAAATCTTTTAGCTGATTGTGGAACATTCTAAGTATACAATAATTAGATTTAAGAGGATTCTTTTGGAGATGCAATTTAAAAATTCTAAATGCATGATACACACTTCTGTGAAAAGCATAATAATCACCTATACAATTAGCTAAATGATTCTCTTGAGTTCAAGAATATAAATTGGTGAGTGGCTATCTGCATTAATCAGATAATTTCCATGTTTTACTTCAGGATGTAGACTTTTAAAAATATTGCTTTGTGAGTTTTATTTTAAATAATAACTCATTGAAATGGAAAGGGAAAAGTGGATTTAATCCATGCTTCAATGGCTTAATATTTGTCTGATTTTTGAAGGATTTAGCACTGTTCCTCAGAGAACCATGGAGGACAGGGAAAAGCCTATCCAGAAGCTTCTTGGATTAGTTTGTTCATTCATTTCATTCATTCATTCATTTACTTTGTGCTTATTTTTCTCCATAGTCATGTTTGTGAGTTGTAGACTCATGCATAAAAGTTGTGATTGCTGAATTAAAGAGCATCAATCTAAAATGATATACCAACATTTGATAAATAAGAACAATAAATATATGTAATATTTATTAATCATTTATTATAATTTATTTTATGATAATTTTATTGCATACAATAATAAAATAATCACTGCTTCTTGAATTATGTTTCAGGTTCTGTGCTAGGCATTTGAGAGTCTCTCTCGTGATTTTAACTACCCTGTAGGTTAGCATGTGGCACAATGTAAAAGATAAAAAACTGGACTCAGAATCCACATTGTCTGGGTCCAAACTAGCTCAGCCCTCTAGACATCTTGAGTGACCCAGAACAAATTATTTAATGTCTTACTGCCTCTGTTGCTCATGTACAAACAGGGGAAATAAAATTATATGTGATTTACATGGGGCTATTGTAAAGATTAAATGAATTGATAATATGCAAAGAACTTGGAACAGTGCCTGACACACAGTAAGAACAATGTGTTTGCTATCACTACAATAGTTATTGTTGCTATGTGTATTATAGTTGACAAGAAATAGTATACTTGTATTCAAAAGAGTTTATTTACATATTGATTCTGCCTGGGATGAAGTAAGGCAAGCCTTTTCATAGAAAGAGATGTTGATTTAGTCCTTGAAGTTTGGGTGGGATATTAATTAAAGTAAGGAAGGACATTCCAGGGAGGAGGAATGAAATGGGGACAGGCATAGATATAGGGTAGTCCGAAGTAAGTTTGAGGGAAAAAAAATGAGGAATTTGGGAGTCTGAGATGCAGGGTATATGGCAACAAGAATAAAAAGGCCATATTGTAAAGTACTATGATTTGATCTCTCTATATAGGTAGAACAGGTGTGTGTGTGTGTGTGTGTGTGTGTGTGTGTGTGTATGCACGCATTTGCACTGGAAAATTCATTGACTGTGATAACAGTTTTGCTCTCAAGTTATTATTTCTTTATTTAGTCCACCGTAATCTTAGCATTTATCAAAGGCTGATCTGAAAAGGAGCTTTAGGACCAAAGGATATCGCTTAGATGCTGATAATCACTTCATTTACGTTAATAACACCCTAAGTCAGGACAGCAGCCATCAGTTAAATAGACTAAAAATTAGACTGAGATCAAAATTACTACCCCAAGCACAGTATTAATTTTCTGATTGATGGTGACTAAGAAAAAAACTATTCGGCATAGCTTCAGCTGTATTTCAGGGAATCTGTACATTTCTTCTAATTTATAAAGTATAATAAATGAATCACCAAGAAGGATTAGTTGTCAGCTCTAAGACAGAGTGTGAAGGATGAAGCACTGCTGTATTCCCCTGATGTCAGTTGATCTATTAAATTAACAAGCATATAGATAGATTATTTAAAGATCAATTTAGCCAAGAATTGCTTTCAAATGAATACATCAGGCATCAAGCCTTTTTTTTTTGTAAGATCGTTTTGTAATTGGAATACATATTACACACAACTTCTCATCACAGAACTCAAGCAGTTTCAATCAGGAGGATTTGCTCTTTCTGCAAAGTGTGTGAAAATCAAAAATGAGCAGATCCACTTCATTATGTATAATGAGGAGATCTGTAGTTACTGTGTAAGTAATGGCTGAAAAGAATTGCTAGAAAAATGTTCTTTGCTCACATCTCTGGCACTGGGCTAACATTTCTCTCTTAGAAAATCTTTTCAGCATGAAAGTTTTGGAATTAAGTTCCTAATAAACTTAGAAAGTCCAACAGCTGTGAGTAATTATGATACAAGCATATCAATCCATGTGCAAACAGATTTATTCGGTAAGCTCCAATCCTCTTGCTAACCCTTCACTGCAATAATTAAGTACACTCTAATGAGTTTGTTAGTAATTTCCATATGATTTTCCTCCTAATTATTATTTGAGTTGCCCATGTTTATAATACTTAGTAATATCCTTAAAGTATCAATGGTGAAGACACAATTTTGGCTGGTGTATTATTTAATAATTTGTATTTTCTCATTCATATGCTAAGTAAACGAAGGGAAAACATTTATTTAAAGGTCAAACTTTTTGAAATTGGATTTTATGTGTGTGTATGCTCATTTTTATACACTTATTCAATTCCCATGGAATGAATGGGTCGTTTTAGCCTGAATCAAGTCCTGTTTTTCCCTGCTTAAAGAACTCCAAGTTTCTACCGTGGTCTTCAGGACCCTGAGGGACCATGTGCTACCTACCATTCTGACTTTGTCCCTTACCACTTCCTTACTCAATCAGCTCCAGAATACTGACCTTCCTCCTGTTTGTCACAAAAGCAAAGCTGGTTTATATTAACACCATGGGGTCTTTGAACTTAGTACAGTTCTGTTTTGGAATGTCCTCCTCCCACTACTCTGTATGGATGTCTCACTTTTGTCATCCTAGGGTCCACTCGGGATATCACTTCATTGGGGAAAACCTTGACTTTTAGCTACAACAGCACTCTAGCCAGTCATTCTCTATGGTCTCACCCAATTTTATTTATTTCAAAAAAAGTCTCATCACTCTTTTTTAAATGTGCTAGTTGGTTTATTTACTTTTCTCTCTCACACCTAGAATCTGAGCTTCCTGGTGTGTAAACATGTTATGTGATCTGTCTCCTTCATTTCTTTATCTTCTAGGCCTACACCAGTGCCTGAGGCACTGGTGGTAAATTCTTAATGAGTACTTCTTCAGTGAGTGAGTAGATCAATGGTGAGCTGGAACAGGAAAGAATCTCAGCAATCCTATCTACCCCTCATTTTATAGATGAATAACTGAAGTATATTTGCATCCATGATTTGTCACCTAAAATGTAGAGCCTGTCAGAGCAGACCCAAGAAATTAAATCCCAAGCTTCTTGATTCCTGGCCCAGTCATGCTACCTGTCTTCACATTCATCAGTCTGGCTGTGTTTGTTGAGATATATATATTTATGCATGTGATGTGTGTACTAGTAAAATTTTAAATTTTTGAGATTTTGAATCAAAATCACACCCACTCTAATCCTCTCAAGTTACACAGACAAGTAAATCACTTAACCTCCCTGGGCTTTGGTTATCTCATCTATAATAATAATAATAATAATATACTAGCCTGCCCAATCAGGCGAGTGATTGTGAGAACCAAGTAATAAAACAAATTGTTTTGTAAACTGAAAAACTATAGTATGAAATGATAATAATCAAGACCCAGATGTCACTTAGCAACACAGTATAAAGCAGAATTGGATTCTTGGGATGTCCACCTTTAAGTGGGTTCAGATATTGAAATTCCATAATCACAAAAGGCATTATAGAGGAAAGCAAAAGCTGTATATATGTCTATATAAAACCTTTTTTTCCTTAAGCATTGTGGTTCTCAAAGAGTGGTCCCCAAATCAGCATATCACCATCACCTGAAAACTTGTCAGAGATGCAGAATCCCTGGCAGACCTCAGACCTACTGAAGTAGAAAGTTTGGGAGTTAGCCAAACAATGTGTGTTAGCAAGCCCTCCAGGGAATTTTGATGCCCACTCAAGTTTGAGAGCCTTTGCCTTATATGATTTAATAAGGTAAACAAGATGATAAGTTTCCTAATTATGAAGCCTTACTATGTTTTTGAATAGGTTTACAGAAATTCATTGCAAAACCTAAAAGTCAGTCTTGCATCAAAACCTAAAAAGTTAAAATTATATCAAAGGGTGTCACCCTCTCATTTCCATGACAGAAGGCTCCCAGAACCAAATAAACCATGGAGAATAGTTGCCCATAATGAGGTAGGAGACCAATAGTTTATCACCTATATATCATGGTTGATTGCAGAAGGAGGTCATTATAATTACAGAGACACCCCTTCTAATTAGGCAGTTCAATGAGGAAGTAAGAAATTATCAGGATGGTTCAGGAAACACAACAACAACAACAAAATCACATTTGGTTTTCTTGAAAAGATGGTCAAAGGCTTTTTCTCCCAGAATTCTTGGTGTTTCATCTCTCAAACAACCCTCTTGGGATTGACGAGGGAGCAGAATGTACTGCTGAAATGCTTTACTAAATCTTACTGGGGTAGTAAAAGGTACTGAGCATCAAAATCAATTTTAATCAGGAAACAAATAGGCATCGGAGTCAAATCTGTCTGCTTCACTTAGAGCTCAGCGAACCTGGGCTAGTTAGTTAACTTTCTCTGAGCTTCAGCTTCCTCGCCGGTGAAGAGGGAATAATGAAACCTACTTCCAGAGAGTTGTTGCAAGGACTAAATAACATAATGTATTTAAAGGACCCACTAGCATACCACCGTGTCTGGCACAAAAATGATGCACATCACGCGTGGCTTCCCGTTTTCCTCCTCCAGCAAATAGGTCTTTTTTTAGGCTCCACACTTTTTTTTTTCTCTTTGGCTACCTTCCATATTTCCAAAATAACATGAATTGAGGAAATGAGCAAGACACAATGAACGTGAGAAGACGGACATGCTCTCAAAATACAGTCACCTAGGAGTCAGCATATCTGTACTTACGAAATGAGCTCTTTTCTGCAGAGACAACTGGACCCAGTTGGCAGAAAGACTTAAGTAGGTATCCTAAGGTGTGTTAGATGCACAAGTAGACTCTTTTTCATTCCTTCTTCTGATCTTCCTACCCACAAATGTGTATACATATGTGTTTATACACACACACATATGCTAAATTGAACATATTGTGAGCTTTTATTACCTATATGATAGAAAGCCATCATTTGTTATCATATATTCATTTCTTATCGTGTGAATTACAATATAAGTATCATAGCAGAGCTTAAAATCAAAAGATTTAAGACAGAATATAAGTACAATAGAACTGTAAAAGGATTGGACATCATGGTACATTGTTTGGTGGAGGAAATAGAGTGCTTGGCAAAACTCAGTGAACTCAAAGAAGAAATCCAAGACTAATCTTGATATCTCTTGAGTTCACACACTGAGTTTATGGGTATCAAGCCAGCCTCAGCTTGCTATATGAATGTAGTAGGTGAAGAAAAGGGTGCAGTGGAGGGATCATGTCTTTTACAGAGGAGAATGTTGGAAACTGCCTCTACAAGGACACCCCAAAATGTTCGTTGTAGGTGACACAGCAATGCCACAGTGCTCAGTCCGTAAACTTAAGCCACTGGGGTTCCCACAGAAGATGTTCCCATGTATCTCTGCAAAATGGGATTTGACTTTGTAATAACACCACTGCAGAAAGCTTCTCTCTCCAACAGCCTGCCCTACGATTATTTATAAATCATCTGTTATTACTTATAGCTTCCAGGTTTTCTTTTTAACAGATTTATAGAGGTATATTTTATATAGCATAAAATTGTCCCATTTGAGCATACAATTCAAGGATTTTTAGTAACTTTACTGAGATGCCATAGCCACAAATCAGTTTTAGAACATTTTTATCCCCCCAGACAGATCCTTCATGCCTGTTTATAGTTAACCCCCATCCCCACAGCCGGCCCCAGGCAATGACTAATCTATTTTCTGCCTCTATAATTTTGCCTTTTTCTGGACATTTCCTATCAGTGGAACCATACAACATGTGGTCTTCTGTGTCTAGACTCTTTCACTTCATACAGTCTTTTAGTGGTTTATCCATGATGCAACCTCCGTCAATGGTATATTCCTTTACCTTACTGAATAATATTCCCATAGCTTCTCTTAAAACCTAAAAAAGACCATATTCACTTATTTATATATTTATAAATACTGAAGGGAGGCACATTCCCAGTGAAGAATAAGAGAGTTCCGGATTCAGAACAGATTTTTGTTCTCTGTATCTCACTAATTACACTCTCTTTCTTATTTATTTATTCGTCTTGTCATGTCAGGTGTTGGCTTCTCTATTTCACTTTTTAAAAAATAATTTCACAATAGGCTATTGAAACCCAGAATGGTGAAACTGTAAAAGCAATTTCTGGCAAATGGTGGTTGAAAAAAAGTGCCAGGCATTCACTTGGAGAGTGCTATAATGCAAATATGTGTTAAGTAATGTAATGGAGTTAAAAATTATCATAGTATTAAGATGAGTCATAGGAATCTGAAAATAAGTAAAAGATTCATTACTTTTAATATTTGAAAGTAAATTAATTCAGTATCTCATAGGTTTGTTGATTTCATATTCTTTCATATTCTAATATCGTGTCAGAGATTGCTGCAATATTTACATATTGTCTTTGCTGCATGCAATATAGTTACCGTCTCAAATTATCCACCTGGATCCATTTAATTTCATAATGGGTTTCTTTGGAAGTTGAGTTGTGGAATGTCATAAATGTTCAGGGAAAGCATGCCACTGTGGACTCAGAAATTATATAAAAAAGCTTCCAGTACACACGCTAAATAAAAATGGGTCATATAAAGTTTATTAACTAAACAAATTAAACCCGCTTGGTAATGGGTGTTTCTCATGAAGTTCTTGAAGTAGCATAAATGTACTTGGCAACCTGAGGTTTCAGCTCATGTATTTCTCATATAACATTTGGCTTTTTCTCTTTCCCCAGTTTCTCTTCTAAGTGGGGTAAATGCTATCTTCCTTTCTTTGGGGTGGAGGAAGTCCCTTCAGGTAGAGTGTAGATTTCAAGACTCAAGCAATTACAGAGCATTGCTCAGTAGGTTGATTTGTGGTGACAAAGCAATAATAGTCAGGGGCGTATTACATACCCCATAAGTGGTTACATAAGCTCCCATTATGTGTGGGGCACTTTGCCACAGACATCGCAAGCCTTCAGTAAGATACATGCCTTATGATTTAACTTTTATCATTGTTCCCATTTGGCAGATGAAGAAACCGAGTCTCAAAGAGATCGAGTAACTTGCCCAAAATCACACAGCTAATAAGCACGAGAGCCAGGACTTAACTCTAGTTTCATCTAATCTTAAAGCTCCTGTTTTTAACAATCATGCTACACTGTGTCTTAAAATGGCAAGTGGGAGACCTGCCCTCCCACACCTGCCAGTGCTCAACCACAGTCACTTGTCTTTCAATGCCAGGGGCACATTCTGAGATACGCATCTCTGGGCGATTTCATTGTGCTGGAAACATCATAGAGTGTCTCTCCACAACCTACGCTCTATGGTATGTCCTGTTGCTCCTAGTCTACAAACCTGTACATTGTGTCACTGTGCTGAATACTGTAGGCGACTGTAACCCCTTGGCAAGTACCTGTGTGTCTCAGCATATAGAAAAGGCCCAGTTAAGACACGACACTGTAATCTTATGGGACCACCATTGTGTTTGCAGCCTGTGGTTGACTGACATGTAGTTATGTGCCACATGACCGTCCATTAACAAGTCAAGTGACCTCTGAGGTCTTCTGAGTCTGTTAATCTAAAGGGACGAGAGGGTCATTCCACTTCAGGAGTCTTTTCTTGAGCACGATCACATTTTCATTTCCCTAATCTCTTAAAATGACTGACTCACGGCTGGGGTGCAAGAGGCATCAGTGTAGATTGCTTGTTGGGATGGAAATAGGTGGTAAGTGGTGAGGAAGAAGCGGTGTTGAGACGCTGGGGAAGGGTGGGGAGGAAAGGTGTGAGTGGGCACAGGGACTCATTGCCAGCACCTGTAAAAACCCAGCTCGGAACCAACTGGAAAATCCCTCTCAATCTCAGAGGCTTCTTTGATGCTCTTCATAAGAAACACTTGTATGTTCTTTTCCTTTTGTCAGGGCCATGTAATCTAGAAAGCAGAGATTTTTTTTTCTTTCTTTCTTTCCTTTTTTTTCCCCCCTTTCTTTTTTAGTAAACATAAAGGATTAAAAGGAAAGACAACAGCAATTTTAAAGAATGCTTTCATGAATCTTTCAGCGGGTGGTAGCTAGGAAATGTGAGTTTTGCAGTATGTTATCAATGTTAGTTTGGAGCAGAAAAGGTCAAAAAGTTAAACTTTGATATCTTTATCTTTTCACAAAGGTTATTCCAGAAGGAGCTATATGTAAAAAGAAAAACAAAAAGCAAATACATATATATTACAGCAAAATATCCTTTCCTGTATTCATTCCAAGTAATGGGCTTCACCTCGTAGCTATTCTTTTCTGCAAAAGGTTTATGTTATTATCCTCGGGTATTATTTCCTGATGGTATCAGTGTAATGGGTCATTCTAGAAGAGCTGGCTTATTTCTGGAAGATGTTATTAAATGCTGTGGAGGTATGAGTATTTCTGTGAAAATGCCAAAAGAAAGGAGGAATATAAAAATACAAGAGGAAGTTCTGGGGAAACCAAGCTGAACCTCAGAAAATGAGACAATGGGTATGAAAAGTTTGAGGCGGGGCTAACTTCTTAGGGGTTAGCCTTCTCTGCTTCAGTTACACAGTGTTATAGGGAAGGAGACACAAACTTAAGTGCATCCCGGAGCTAAGCATGTAATATAAATGAATGAACCACACGGGCTGGTGCTAGAGACCTGAGAACAAAGAGAAAATTCCATATTTCCCTTCATCTTATAATAAGAAAAGTCATAGCACAAATGCACATGTAAAAAGTAGCAGACATTCAGCCTCAGTGCCAGGCATATAATTGGGAACGGAAGGATATGGCAAGCCAGGTGGCTCATGAAAAGGACACAGCTATAATCCAACCCAGGCCAATTGTTCCTTCCATCTTTTTCAAAAGTTTGGGTCAAAATCCAGAGGAGGATAAAGATTATTTGTAGTTGAGAGAAGGCAGCAATTGGGAAAAGCCCTTTAATACCTGGATGGGATTTGGAAATATGGGATAATTTCTCTACTTTATTTCTTATATGCAATGCTGAACTCTCATGGGCTCCAGGGGTTGGAGAGTGGTGATATCAAAGATGTGACTTTGAGAAACGACTCTGACAGTGCTATGCTAGGTGGTCTGGAATAAGGAAACCAGTCCTGAGGCATTGCAGCAGTCTACAGAAGAGTCATGAAGACTGGAATTAGCATAGTAGCATCGGAAACTACCAGACAGATGAGAGGTTTGTGGAGATGATGGATCCAAGGTGGGGTTAAAGATCTAAGAAAAAGCCATTGATAGAGACTGCCAAGAAAGATGGCCCCACTGACAAATGGACCATAAGAAAAGGAGGCTGTTGCAAAGGGAAGGTGCTGCGTTCATCCAGCATTTACTGAATTATTTCACGTGGGTAGACATTCTCAAGGAACAGGGAAATAAATAATGCACATGGCCCTGGAGATGCTACACGATCTGACCCCCACCTGGAGGAGGTGTTTGTAGGTTTGACTTTAGACATTAATATTTTGAACTCAAGATACTGGCAGAACCCTTCCCAATTTAGAAACGTGGGCCCTTTCTTGACTTTCCCTCTCGCTTAACTCCTATGTTTGATATTTCAATACAGTTTGACTGCAAGTCACCCTGAAGTTTTGTTTCAAAGAGTGCCTGGAGCACAAAATCTGTAAAAGCTTTGGCTGCAGATTTTTCTCTGCCCAAAAAACAATGCTTAGGACCTTAGGACCTGCGAAGGTACATTCCTAGGTGCACACTTCTTTGTGGAAAGCCACGGAAGCCAAGCAATGGGATGAATGAAAGTACGAGGAGGAGAACCGATCATGTGCATTTTAGAATGACTTGCTAACATGCTTTAGTAAGAGTGCATTGGGAAATAGCCCATTCTGCACAGAGACGGACCCGCTTTGCAAGGCTTACGCCCAACAACTGGCTTGGACGAAGGCTTAGAGTGACAAATATCCCAAAATGGATATTCAGTGGATATTTGTCATTATGGAAAGCCAATGTGCAATGTTTTTTTTTAAAAAAATATTACAAAAATACACATGCACAAAATATATTTGAAAACTATAATAATTAGGAATCTTACTGTTGGTTGATATGCAAAAGATGAGAATTATCATTTGTTCACTATATACCAGGCGTTGCCCAGTTTTTCTTTACCCTGGTAGCCCTGTTTTGGGATCTGTTCCAGTGGTGGGGATAATAAGATTGAATATTAGAAACCTAGATCATCCTAGAAAATCTGGACCATATGGTCGCATACCTGTACCTTCCTTGTTTCCTCCTAATAGAGCCTGGAAACTCCAGCAAGTTATTTGGAAGTCTCTTTGATGTCGGTCTCTAGTGAGAAGCAAGGCGACTCTTCACTCGCTGCCGTCGGATGGGTGTCTGTCTGGGAAAGAGGGCGGAGGGTGGAAGGGGTGCAAGGGGACCCCTCATCACAGGCTTTGATCTTCCTTGACTCCTCCTGGGATGTCTCACCTTTTGATGTTGGGAATCAGTTAATTATTCGTGGAAATTGGTTTGAGGGACTAGGAAACAGTTTGAAGGCTCTGTTCTCAAACTGCCTGTACTTTGATCTAAGGAACTTTAGGGCAACTTTCTGAAGCATCTCGGGCAAATGGGAAAGGCTCAGTCTGTGGCCCCTCCCCAGCGGCTGCTCAGGTTTTGATCCTCCTGTTCTGCCATGGTACATGCAGATTTAGCACACTTCTCTGTTCAGAGCCCTTGTGGTTTTGTCGGTGGTAAAATGATGACTTTTGGGATCAGATCATAAAACCTCTTTCGCACCACAAAGAGCATGCAACTTGATAATTCCCTGCTTAGATCTTAATTTGAAACTGCCATCTCTTTTTTTTTTTTTCTGAGCAATTGCTGATTAACACGACTGCGAATATCTCTTGCAACACAACCTTGATTTGCGAGACAGTCTATTAAATTAATGGGTTTGAAGTCAAATTTCCTGCCCTTTCTCGTGTTGATGCAAGTTAACATCCCCCAAGTTGACCTGAAAGGCTAAGAAATGCTCGCGGGTTTGATGGGCAGGTGGTGGTGGAGAAGTCAGCTCTCTTTTCTCTTCCAAACAAGGCAACACAATCTGGCACCTTGCCTGGTAATGCAATTCTCCTAATGAACACGTTTTTCCTAGTCTGAGGCCCTGCATTGTGACCATGCCACAGGGCTGACAAAGAGATAATTTTTTGTGCTCAGAAAGAAACACACACACACACACACACACACACACACACACACACACACATATAGAAACCTTCTGAGAGTGTGTTTTGTTCTTATGTCATGGCCCATTATGGCATTTTCATTTTAATTGCATGTGAAACCCATTTAAAGAGGTGGTATAATATGACTCTTCCCTTGGAAAACAGACAAGAGCGGTATGGATGCATCATAAAGGAGTCTGTTAGTTACTTGGGCTGTCATCACCATATACCTTAAGGGTGGTAACAAGTATTAAGTATCTAAGCAAATGTAATATATTTGATCCTCTTGTATATGAATCCCTGTCCTCCTCCTATAAGTAGTAGATTCATATCACAGTATCTCAGGTAACAGAGTACTGCTCAGTATTTCAAAGATAAAATATGCATTCTTATGCATGTACATTTTCTCATTTTTCAAATAGAAATTGAGCCATATAGATAAAGCATGCATATACTGAGATTCTGGAACTACTTATTGAAAAGGATGGTTGATAAGGTTATTTTTGTTGTTATTGTTCTACTATTCCAACCCTCACCTTGGGAAATACATGGCTCATACCTCAAAGAGTTTTACGACTTCCTGACCTTCTGTAAGTAAAAATGTAAGTTCTAAGGCCAAAGAAATAAAGCCACAGGGTCTTTTTCCATAAAATAAAATGTTTCCCCTCGGTCTCAATATCTATACCCCTCTGTAGGAAGCAGGTTTCCCAACTGAAAGAATTTCCACATTGCTTTGACTTTCCCTACTGTGGTCTTGTCCTTATTTAGCAGACTGTGTTCTATATGCATAATTGGGAATTAATTTTCTAATTAGGTTCTTCACATTTATGAAGTTGTTTGATGGGGTGTCTGTTCTTATAGCATGGCCTAAAGGCTAAAGTAGAGGTAATAATTCTTTTTTCTGGCTTTGCCCCTAATTCAGCTAAGGTTCCTAGGAAATATATTTAACTTTTATGAGTTCCCAGTAATACATCTTTAATGCTGATCTACCTTTGAAAGGTTGTTAGGAGGGTGCTAACTAAGGCTTTAAGACTCATTAGGATACAGTTGATTTTATTTGTAATAGTTGCTCAAAGAAAATGAAGCCATTTCTTTTGCAACATGAAGGGTATTTAGAAAACTAAGAGCCACAACAACAGCAGAAAGTAAAGCCATACGATGCTGGGAGGCAAAATAATATTGAATTGATGCTTGAGAAACGGAGGTGACCCTGAAGATTAAAAGGCTAATATTTTTACTGTGAATATACAAGTAGACCTGGATCAGGTATGTGGCTGCAAGAGTCTGTCACCTAGATTTTCTGTGACTTGCCATGAAGATTCCCACAGGTAGAACAATTGAGTCTATTGTTCTGCCACTCTCTGGTGGGTGAAGGCTAGCCAGTGTAAACAAATCCACCTAAATAGTCTGCTTACTTGATTTCAGTACAAAAATCTAATGATAAGGCTAGCCATTAGACTTGGAAGTCAAAACTAAGTCCCAGAGTCACAACTTTTACATATATCTTGGGTCATATTACTTATTACTATAGGTACCAAGTAGCACGTGTGCGAGGAAAATAGACATTGATATTGCACATTGTCAAAAGGGCATCCTCACTTTATAGGGAATCCACATCATCCTACTTGAAATTTTGCTGAAAAATAATACGTATTCCTCAGCAGCCTCCAAATAAGAACCGCCTATCATGCTAATCTCTGTTGCATATCAATATCCTCATTTGAGTTTGCCTTTCACGTGTATGCCACGGCCAGCAAAAACTGTAAGAACAAAGCAAAAGGCTGAATATATTAGGTAAGTGATAATGCAACCTCAGAAAAAAGTATTTGTCCAACTCCTAGCCTGTTTTGCCCTTATGTTACCTACTGGCTTTTTATAACTACTGACTTATGATCTCTGCTATACAAGTTCCAGTTTACAGCTACAATGCGTAACTCTTACAATCGTGTTATGCATCAGCATAGAAAGAGACCACATAAGAGGATGGGAAAATCACTCTGGCCCCATAGGGCTCAGCAGTCCTCCTGGTCTCTGTGTCCACCTCTAACTCTAAGTGTCTATGTGACCTTGAGCAAATTATCTAAGTGCTTTGGTCCAATATAGGTCAAAGAGTTCCATTCTCTTCTGAGCACGATTAGCTTCAAATTTTGTATCTAACACATGTATTGCCCAAAGAAATCCTAGTCAGTCCAACTTCTTGTAAAATTAGCCTGAACCCACCAAGAGCGATTATGGCACTACAGTTAAGAGCACAGAATGCAGATGTAGCATCTGTCACCTCTTCCCAACTACTTAATTATCTTAGCCTCAATTTCTGCAGCTGTAACATGGAGTAAAGATCCCATTTCGCTTTCTCTTCCCTTTGCTATCTTTCCTTCTCCTTTCAGGTATTAATAATGGTGTTTTTGTTTTGTCTTAAAGGTCTAGAAGGAGAAGCTCAATAAACTATACTAGGCTGAGAGTGAGAGTGGGGATTCATGGATTATGGATCTATCTTTGGGACTGGAAATAAACTTGACCTTAAATGTACTTTCTCTTTTCCCTCCAAAGCCATCTTCTTAAAATGTAAAACAAATCCCATCATTCTTTTGTTTAAAAACTATCGATAGTTTCTCACTGTACTATATTTGTAATAAAATCCAAACTCTTTACCATATTTAACAGTAATTTTTGGCTTTGGACTCCTTCCATCCTTTCTCTTCCTCATTATTTTTATTCTCTTCCATACCTTTAGCATCCTCCTGTAGGAGGAGAAATCTCTAGCCTCAACTGTGTGCTCAGTCCATACTTGCATTTGTAATAGCTAGCGGAACACAACCCCTGGCATGCCTGGTCAGCATGTCCAAGTTGGAACTTGTCATCTCCTTTCCCCAAAGCACCAAGCAACTATGGCTTCCAACCTCTGTTAATGGCTTTCTTGTTACAGGCAACCACCCTCACAATCTCATTCCTTTTGTCTCCTCTCCACCTCTCCATCCCTCAATTTCTCACTATCTCTTCTATTTATACCTTTATTTGTATTTCCCCTTCCATTCCTACTGCCACTTTGTCACTCACATCAGATCCTCCAGACCTGAAATTGTGAAATGACTTCCCAATGGGTCATCCAATCTCTCCCTCTCTCTCTTTTACCCCAGGTTATAAAGCTGCAAGATTAATTTTCTGGAGTACCGCTGTGATCATTTGATGTCTGTGCTCACAAACATTTATTAGCTATATGATAAAGTCTAAACTCTTCAGCTTGACTTTGAAAGTCTTATGCAATATGACCCTCACTACTTTTCTAGTCTAGCTTCCTGCTTTGCACACATTATTCTGTTCGTACGTGCCTTTATTTTTTCAACTAAAATTGATTAGAGGCCAGCAATATGCAAGATCCTAGGGACACAATATTAAACACTATAAACATGAAACTTTTTATAATGGAAGAGAGATCAAACACACACAGGCACACACTCACACACACAAGTGGCATAATATAAACAGAAATAAAGAATGTGATGAAAAATAGAGTCACAGGGAAATAACTCTATATATTTAAGTACATTTGTCATAAATTGGATAGCTTATTAATTCAGAATATTGCCTAGCATTTCCTACCTATCTCTCTTTGTTTATATTCCCCCTTCTTCTTTCCAGAATGTCCTAGACTCTAGTAGTCAATATCTGGTCCATATTTAATGGCATAATTATTGAACCTTTATTTTTACCTCCCCCGTGTCCACTCTTCCTGGCCCACCCCATTCCAAGCCCTCAACCAAGGAGTCTGAATGGAAATCCAGCCCTTCTTCCAGGAGTAGATCTTGTGGCTAGGGCTAAGCCAATTAGCCTACTACATTCTCTGAACATAGAGATTTGTTCTCAGGTGGCATGTGACTTAAGCTAGGCAGACAGCTAATCTTAGGGCTTGTGAGGAGATCAAAGATGTTTTTATTTACTCCCATTGGACTTGCAGCTAAGAGGATGGAAGGCCTGGAGTGGCCACACCAATCTGTCTGTTGGAGAATGGAGTCAACCTAGAAAAAGACAGAGAAAAAGAAAACAATTCTTGAGTCACCCCACCCCCCAAATCAAGTCACACCACACCCCTGGAATTTTTAGTTACCTAAATCAATAATTTTTCTTTTCTCATATGTCAGGTCAGAGTGGTGTTTTATAAGAAAGGAAACAAATACAGTCAAAAACAACAACAGAAACAAATTTCAAATAGTAGTATTTTCTCTAAACCCTGGTTGATACTCCCAATTCAATGCAGTTTCTCTCTACCATCAATCATTTTGTATCTCAGTTATGGTGTATATGCTGTTCGGCCTTATTTTAGAGTTTTTGTGAACTTGTCTTTTCCCCTACCACATTTGAAAGGATGAAAATTTCTCTTTAAGGCTCTTGGTTGGCTTAGCCGAAAGGGCCTGAATAAAAGTGAGACCAGTGAGATTCAACATTTAAGGAGGCCCTCACTTTCAGGTGCTGACTCTACACTTACACTATCTGGAGAGTGAGGGCCTCCTTAAATATTGCTCCCTGCATACCTCACTCACCCCCATCCATTTCTAGCCCTGCTAGCAGGGTAACTACTCAGTAAGCTCAGGGCAAATTCAAGAGAATCCCACATTTTGCATGAGGGTGGGAATTATCCAGTAATGCATTTTCTTCAGTATTATACTCATCTAACATATTTTTTTTTATATTTACCTTCTTCATTTTGAACTCATTCATCCATATACAGTGATTACTGGGGGAATTTGCCGATGGCATGATGGTAAAAACATCTAAATCACATTTCCCAGTGAGAAGACTGGGAAATGCTCATAACTCTGCTAAGCAATGCATCCAGAAATAGCATGTAATAGAGCAGAGGTCCTCAAACTTTTTAAACAGGGGCCAGTTCACTGTCCCTCTGACTGTTGGCGGGCTGGACTATAGTTTATAAAAAACTATGAACAAATTCCAATGCACACTGCACATATCTTATTTTGAAGTGAAAAAAACAAACGGGCAAAAAAAAAAAAACACCCTTATGTGGCCCACAAGCTGTAGTTTGAAGACACCTGGAATAGAGGATAGAGGATTCAATTTTCACTCATTTACTTATGTTTTCATAGTTCAGTGTCTGTTATGGAGCCAAAATTGTACAACTCATTATCTAGGTCACTCTAGTAAGCCATCTTGTCAGCACAGATGTGCTACTTTTGCGCTAGAATTCTCAGTGGTAAAGTTGCTTCCAAGCTGGCACCTATTATTAATAAAAGTGTTAAATAAATAAATTATAGAAATAATTAAAGCAACGCAGCCTACACGATAAGCTCAATTGGTTATAAACATTACATCCTCATTATATAAGCAATTTTATTCGTTATTTAATATTATAGAAGATCAATAGCCACTTTGTGTTTGTGTTAGTGTTGGTTCATTGGTTGTAAGCAACAGAAACTGACTTCAAATGGAGATATGGTTTTAAAAAGGAATATCAGAATTAAACAAATGAACAGATTTAAAAGAAAAGCATTGGAACAGGCTGGAAGCAAGACAGCTCCAGAGAACTGGGTAGCAAGAATGCATCTTGAAGTAA